GGGGGCTAGTGATGCAATGAGAGCAGCAGGGGAAGCAGAGGCGGGCCTGGGGTGAGGGGAGATACGTCCAGAACTGAGCGTGTTGAGTTGGGACATCCAAGCTGAAGTGCCTGCCAGGCCCCTGAATACGCAAGCCCGGGAAGCGGGCATCGTGAGCGCCTGAGGCACGGGTAAGGCTTTAGGAGCCAGTGGGCTGGCACGGGAAGGGAGTGTGACGTGAGGCCTGCGCGGCGCTGGGGGCGAAGCACGGGAAACGTTATTTAAATGCAGACGGAAGAAAGGGGGCCCGCAAAGAGAGCTGAGGGGAGTGGGAGTCATGAGAGGACCACCTTCCGGGCCTGTTCCTGTGCTTCAGATGGGAACGTTCCGTCACCTGGATTGCGCGCACTGATGGGCTTTGAAGACTAACAACGATAAAGCTCTTGGTCGCTGTTGCCAGTGGATTTATCTGTTGGATTACAGAACCTAGTTTCAGGATGCTGAATCGCAGCCTGGACAGTTCCTAACGTCCTGTGTTTCCGTGCTTGCCAGATCTTTAAAACCGCACACCTTGAGTCGCCCCCAGGTGGATATGAGAATGTTACCAACATCGTTCCTCCCTATAACGCGTTCTCGGCCCAGGGCGCGCCAGAGGTAAAAGAAAAAAAAGGCATTTTCTTATTCAACTCTTTTTTTTTTTTTTTTAAATCCTCACTCGATATTTTTTCCACTGCTTTTCGGGGGGCGGGGGGGGGACGAGAGAGAAACATCAGTTGGTGGCGTCCCACACACACCCTGACAGCTGGGAGCGCGTGCTCCTGGCCGGGATGGGCCTGGGCCCTGGGCCCTTCAGTCTCGGGCCAGCGCTCTAACCAGGGAGCAGCCGGCCAGGGCTCTTGCTCTTTACAACTTTCTTTGTGATATGAAACCTATGACAAGGAATAAACCGAAGAGATTCGGAGGATCACACATGCTGGTATTTGAGGTTCAGTGCTATGTACACGCTGCCTAAAAAAACAGAAAAAACACACAGAAGAACAAAAATAAATACATAAAAATCAGACCCCAGTTGAGCGTTGCCACTCTTCGAAATAACAAAGAAACTTCTGAACATGCCTTTTAATTCAGTAAGGGCAATATCCATTTTTTATATCCAGTTTTTAGAAGCTTTTATCCTTTGTACATAGTCTGACTTTGTTACAGATTGATATGTGCAATTTTATAGCTCCCATAGCAGAAGTTTTAAGATGAACACCGTGGTTGGGAATTAAACCTAGCTGGGATTTTAAAGTAACTTTTATTTATGCTAGTTCCTGTCACTCAGTATCCACTGACAGTGTCTTCCAAATAGAGCACATGGTTTAAAATGTTTTGCGTGTCACCCTTTTTAAAACTTTGGAGCATATTGACATACTTTCTGACCACTTCTACAGAATTAGCGTGGGTCTGTTTATTAAGCCCAAGCCAGGAAAGATAACTTTGGATGATGTAATTTTTTTGTCTCAAACTTATTCTTGGTTTTCTCTTTAATTATAGCAATATTATGTATTGTCTTTCCTTTTGGTTTTCCCTACAGGGAGATCTTGTATATGTAAACTATGCTCGTACTGAAGATTTTTTCAAACTGGAAAGAGAAATGGGCATCAACTGCACGGGAAAGATTGTTATTGCCAGATACGGGAAAATCTTCAGAGGAAATAAAGTACTGTGTTATTTGTTTTTCTAGAGGGAAGAAGATAAGATATATTCTGTAAATGTAAATGAACATCTTACATCTCAGTTTCCAAAATTGCATATAAATATACACACACATATGCACACATACAGGGTATCCCCCAAAAATGTATACACACTTGAACAGCTGATAGCTGTAGAGTCTATTACATTTTTTTTTTTTTTAAATATATCTTTATTGATTTCAGGGAGAGGAAAAGAGAGGGAAAGAGAGTGAGATAGAAACATCAATGATGAGTCATTGATCGAGCCCGCAACCCGGGCATGTGCCCTGACCGGGAATCGAACCCCGATCGCCTGGATCCTAGGTCGACGCTCAACGGCTGAGCCACCCCTGGCTGGGCGAGTCTATTACATTTTGAAAATGAAATGTATTTTAATAAACATTGCCTTTATAATTACAGTGTGTATACATTTTTTTGGAACACCCTGTATATTTTGCTATTTCTATGGTTGCACAGAAAATCATGTTTTTATATTACCTCACATATGTAGAAAGGGAAATTATTTTCAATAAGTTTAGTATCAAAGCAATATTTGCTTTTTTAATTGAAGGAAATTTATATAAACTAAAAAAAAAATGAAAAGCTCTCCTGTATTACCTAACGTCATGGCCCAGACATCATGAATCTTCACAGCTCTTTTGAGACCTACTTCTGTGAAATATAAGTGTGAATATAAGTGTACGTCTCTATAATCATTTTCCATATATTTAACAAAGAGGGCATCAGACACTATATTGTATAACTTTATTTTTCCCCCTCAGCAATAACTCGTGCGTATTCTCCCATGGTTAGGAGTATAGGACTCTAGATCCATGCAGCCTGGGTTCTGGTCTGCTCTGGGCTTCCTAGTCTCGAGGCCTCTGTGCCAGCCTTTCCTCATATATACAATGGAAATGCTAATAATAACACCGGTCTCTTAGAATTCTCATTAGGATTAAATGACTTGATGTTTGAAGCCCTTCAGATCATGACTTGTACTTAGTAATTTTTATGTAACTGTTTATTAAGTGAACACCTGATTATTTCAGATGGCTACATACTTCACAGAATCGATAAGCAATTTTAACCATTTCCCTGTTGACAGATGCTTAGTGTGTCTTAAATTTGTTACTATTACAAATAATTCCATCGCGAGCATCTTTGTCGGCGTGCACTAGGACATCTGTGTGAAGGTGTTTTTTGTAGTGTAGATTCTTAGAAGGTGAATGGCTGAAACATGTATATTATTTCAGACTTTTGATAGGCATCACCTGATTACGGTCAAAAAAAGCTGTGACAGGCTGTACTCTCACTAACATTATATGAGAGTTTTCTGAATACTGGGATGTGGTTCAGTTGATCAAAACTGATGGTTGTCTATCTTTTGCTACAATACTTCTGGTAATGGATTCAGTATCTTACAGGGTAGATTCTCATTTATGGTCAGTTTGGATTATTAGAAAAATGTTGACGAAAACGCTGTGGGCCATTTTTCACACATTATGGCTGTTCTGCATAGAATTTTCAATCAGTTTAGTTCCACACTGGTTATTCTATGATGTGCCAAAATTTGGAGGCTGCACAGTTAAAAGTGATTAAGACATGGTCTGGGTTCTTATCAACATNATCAGTTTAGTTCCACACTGGTTATTCTATGATGTGCCAAAATTTGGAGGATGCAGTTAAAAGTGATTAAGACATGGTCTGGGTTCTTATCGACACNGATTAAGACATGGTCTGGGTTCTTATCAACACCCCCCGCACCCGTGGCCTCTCTCCTATAAAATGGGAACACTGACAATAACACTAATCTCTTAGAAGGCTTACCCTAGGGGAGAAAGATATTTAAAAGAGGTTTAAAAATACTTTTATCCATCCTAAAATAGAAATATGCACACACTATAGAAGAAGTACAAAGAAGGGAGACGTTCACGCATTAAGTGTGCAGTTTTAGGAACAATGGGAATGTTTCGCGGGAGTGGTACCTTGTTTGGAGTTGTGTAGAATAAATGAGAACTGTTAGGCCAAGAGAGAAATTACACTCGGGGCAGAGATAGCTGAGTAACGGCGTGGCCCAGGCGCCGCGGGCACGGATGGCCGGCCCTGCCCTCGCCTCACGGCCGCCGTTGCCCCGCAGGCCCTCAACGCCATGGCAGCCGGAGCGGCGGGCATCATCCTGTACTCGGACCCTGCGGACTACTCGGCCCCCGAGGCGCGGCCCTACCCCCACGGCTGGAACCTCCCTGGAACTGCGGCGCAGAGGGGGAACGTGCTGAACCTGAACGGTGCTGGTGACCCGCTCACCCCAGGCTACCCCGCCAAAGGTAATAACGGCCGAGCCCGTCCCGGCCCACCCGGTTTTGCAAAACTAGTACCTGCGCTTAGAGAAGGCATGCAAGCAAGCATCTGCCCAGGAACGTTAAAACGGTGTGCAGTGATAATATTTTGGATCGCTGTTGCTGGGAACTCAAAGGCACTTCCCTCGTATTACTTTAGTTTTAAACTTTGATGAGGTGTGGACGTGGAGAAGGGCGGGTCAGTTCGATTCCCTCTCCCCCTTGGGTAGAGGGGAGGTTCAGAGACAGATCCTCACACCCAAAGCGATGCTGCTCTTACCCAACCAGAACGCAAGGCTTCTGAACTGCCTGGTGGTTTTTATACTTTAGAGCATACATTTCTGTTTTCAAAAATACCAGTGAGATGTGTTTTTCATTTGGTTATTTAATATGTAAAGTGCTGGGGACAGATCCTGCAACCTGGGCATGTGCCCTGACCGGGAATCGAACCATTTCAACTATATTATTGAATTTATGGGCATATAGCAAATCTGCAATAGCAATAAATTTTTTTTTTACACCCCTGGCTCAGATTCTTCAATTGTTTTCATTTTATGCAATTGATTTTTGCAGAGTACACCTTTAGACTTGATGTTGAAGAAGGAGTGGGAATGCCCAAAATCCCTGTACATCCCATTGGATATAATGATGCAGAAGTATTATTACGGTATAGTTTTCTCATTGGATATGAAATTAAGATATTTTGCACCGTGTTCATTTTTTCTTCTAAAACCAGTGTAACCTAATTATTAGAAGTCTTGAATCAAAATAGCTTCTGAAGTAGGAATAACAGAGCACCCCTCCCTCACCCCCAAAATGCAGTCAGTTTAGTGCCTAAGAAAACGTTACTCTTTTGGCTACAAATGAAAAGTCTCAAAAGCAAAACTTATTTCCAAAGATAAAAATACTGATTTGAGATTTTTGAAGTACTTGGATTTTCTTAGATATTCATTTGATATTTGTACTTTAACCTGCATTTTGAAAATATGATAATGCCCACCACTTGCTAGATGTGTGAACTTGGGCCATGTACTCAATCTTTCTCTGATTGTTTCTCTGTCTCTAAAGTGAGGTCGCAGTAATTTCTCCCTGATAGGATTATCATGCAAGTAAATAATCTAGAATATGGTAAACATTCAATTATTGTTTGCTATTATTATATGTATTCTATAATTGATGTTCCTTTTCAAATCTAACATTTTTTATTTATTTTTTAATTTTTAAAAATTTTTATTTTATTTTTTAAAAATATATCTTTATTGATTTCAGAGAGAGGAAAGGAGAGGGAGAGAGAGAGCTAGAAACATCAATGATGAGAGAGTCATTGATCAGCTGCAGCCCGCAACCCGGGCATGTGCCCTGACCGGGAATCGAACCCTGATCGCCTGGATCCTAGGTCAACACTTAACCGCTGAGCCACGCCCGGCTGGGCAAATCTAACATTTTTAAAATGTCTATACCAATACAATTCAGTGATTGCTTTATGAATGCATATTATGTAATGAACAGCTTCTCTAGAAATTCATTTCTCCTTAGCAGAGTCATGTATTTCATATTTTTAGGACTTCTTGGGCCTACCGCATCCCTACATTATTAAAGTTGAAAGTAAGGAGGCTTCAGCTTTCCTTTTTCTCACTCTTTTCTGTGTTTTTCTCTCCTTGGCTCTTATCACTAACATTAAATGTTTTCCTTATGTATCTCAGTTATGGCTCATTAGCATGTGAGCTCCACAGGGGAAGGGAGTTTTGACAGTACCTTGCACTTACTAAATGCTCAGTAAGTATTTGTTAAATGTCTGAATGAACATCTCATCGTCACACTTCATGATTTTTTCTAAGAAACTGTGATGCTCAGCATTTTCTGTGGTATTCATTTCCTCTCGACAGCCACATGGGGGGAACAGCTCCCCCAGATGACAGCTGGAAGGGAAGTCTTAATGTGGATTACAACATCGGGCCTGGCTTCATGGGGAAAGACTCTTCCAGGTAATCTCACATTCATTTAATAGCCTGGAAACGTTTTCTGTGTTTAACGGAAAAATGTCAAGATAACGGTTCTACCAGGTATATTATGCTTATCTTCTTTTTCTTATTTCTATAATGAATAATCGATCATTTTATATCACTTAAAAGGTACTTACAGAATAATGTATAAAATTTCTCCCATTTATTTCATAAAGCCTCAAAAATGGAGACTTTTGTTACAGGTTCAACATTTTAACTTCCCTTCTCAGTTTTGCAACATTGTCCATACCACTTTCAAAATGTTATACATGTGAAACACTAACAAGGGAAAGGAGTGAAAGAGTGGAAGGGGCAACATCACTGATCACTTGCTGGGTGGGAGGGTTAAGTGAGTCAAATGGGCAAGCACCAAACTAGAGTAGGCTCAATACACTGGTTATTAACACACTGTAGCACTGTGTACAGGAGGGGTGATAACAGAGGATGTGTTCATTGAGCTTAGTTTTACAGAAAGACTGAATTTTCCACTAGATCAAGGCAGGCAGGAAATGCCAACGAGAGAGAGGGGCTTGACCAGAGCCGTGGAGCAGCCTGGCACGATCAGCCGTGAAGCAGTCTGATCGGCCTGAAATGCAGATAGAAAGGGCAGTGTAACTGACAAATCAGGGAAGGTAAAGCTGTTTTTATTAAACCCAAATTGATGCCTCGTTTGCTAACAATTTGTTAACAGTGTGAACTTAAATTCTTAAGATTGTTTTTTAGATTTTGTACTTAAAATTTTATTATTACTATTCATTTTAGAGAGAGAGAGAAACATCAGTTTGTTGTTCCACTGGCTCCAGGGATTGAACCTGCAACTTTGGCATGTTAGAAGGATGCTCTAACCAACTGAGCTACCTGGCCAAGGCTAATTTTTTGTTTTTTTTTTTTAAATTTCAGAGCTTTCAAAGTACTAGAAGTTCAATTTCCTTATTTTATGGAAATTATAGAATTTTTTACATATATGCTTCTTTATTTCTATAACTGAATTGGAACACCTTTGCTATAAGATATTTTATTATCTAATTTTTTAATACCCTCCAAAGGAAGGAAGTCATACACAATGAAAGATAAAGGTCTTTTTTATTTACAAACAGAAACAGAGAAAGCAGAAAACATACAGGTTCAGTTCTGCAATTTTAGTTGCAGTTCAAGAGAAAACTCAGAAACATAAAAATTCTCCAGTCAAGGTATGAAAAAGCCAGTCTCCTTCACCGGGGCCACAGAACCCTTAATTGATCTGAGCTCAAAATGGGCAAATACACAAGAAAATTACTAAAAAGCAGACTTGCTGTCATCTCTCGCCCCAAGGAGATTTCGATAATCTAATAATCCATTCACAGAGATTACCAAGTGACAGGAGACAAAGTCAAATTCCTAGCCTTTGCTGCCACCAGAGGGGAATAACTTACCTGCCATAAGCAAACTAGAAACACAAACAAAACACAAAATCAGTAGAAAAAAAATTATATAGTCAGCAAAATTAGAATTCTGTTGCTACTTGGGATTTACTTCTGACAGCTGAAAGAAGACATGCCTGGGTTTAAGCTGCTCGTACCTGGTCTGAGACAAATCCACTGTACACCTCATCGGGATCCAAAGTGATAAAAGATAATTTTTTTTTTTTTTAAAGTAAAACCATAATTCTCATGCAAATATAAAATGAACGTGTCCAAAACTGTATTAATAAGGGAACCTGAAAGGAGTCAAAACTGGTTCAAAGGAGAATTCAAAGTTGATACAAAAAATCAGCTCATCAGGAAAGCTGGAGTACTTAATAGCAGAAAAACTGATTTCTCCCACCTTGTGAGGGGGGGAGTCAATTAGCATTCACTAGGCAGATTGTGCATTCCAGCGGATGTGGGTTATCTGCATTTCGATCATATTTCTATAAGGCAATTTCTGTCTCTACAGAGTTGTAAAACTGGTTAAAGACAGTGATCGGCGGAGGTAACTGATGGATGAGCTAAGGGCCTCAGTTTCTCCTTACAGGGACATATTTACTCATTTCACAAGTATTTATTGAGCATTTACTATAGTCCAGGCACCTTTCTGGGTACTGGAAATTCAGCAGCAAACACAAAAGGCAAAAATCCCTGCCCCGTGGAGCCTGCATTCTACACTTCAGTTTATTTGGAACATGATGGGTTGGAAGTGGTAATAGGAAAAACAAGTGGGTATTTAGGCATTTCTGGGGTCAGTAGTACTAACTAGAATGACATGAAGATTAAAGATGTGGATGAATTCCTTTGAGAATCTGAGCAGAGAGACTCTGTTCATTTTCATTAAAAATTTTTTAAATTAAAAAGATATTTTTTTTATTCCTCATTATTTTAATTTAATGTCAGAATGTCAATGCTTTGGGGTTTCTCACTAATATATATTAGGCTCCTATTCTTAGAAACACATGCTAAAAAATGTTTCTGCTTTTTCTGCTATTTTTATCAGCAGCAAAAATAAATCCTGTACTTGATGTCTTAAAATGAAAAATAACAAAACAAAAACCCATGACTAGTTTTCCCCAAAAAAATTTTTGGCTGAATACTGCCCATAAATTAAATACGCATTCAGAAGCACAAGGTATTTTTGAAGGAAAAACCAGAACCTGCACTTAGCAATCTGTAGGTTTTGACAGCTCGTTAGTTACTCCATTCAAAAAGGAACCGTAAGTTAGACGCCGCTGGGATCTCCCCCACCCCGCACAGATCCAGACCGACTTTGTTCCCTCGTGGAAAAGAGGCTCCACATCTTCCCATGTCGTTTTGGATTCATTTTCTTTTTTTTTGCCTGAGCTTGATTGTATTTTCCCTTGAATTCTAGTTTGGTTGATTGTAATCCATGAATGAATATTTAAAAGGCCTCCCTAACTCAGAACCAACAGTGATGGCCTGGAAGCTTCCGTATAGGGTTTTCCTGTACATTTTAACAGGAGCTCCCCAAGCTCCCATTTAATAATAGAGTTTCTCATGCTGCTTACAAGCAGCGCTCAGCCAGCTCTCAAACTGATATTTTACTTCAATAATTCTGAAGAAAATTATTCAATAGCAGAAATTAATGTAAATAGACACATTAATAGTCTCATTTGCCCTTAAATACATAATGGCTGTCTTCCTATTATTTTTAAAATATATATATCTTTATTGATTTCAGAGAGAGGAAGGAAGAGGGAGGGAGAGAGAAACATCAATGATGAGAGAGTCATTGATCGGCTGCCTCCTGCACACCCCCGACTGGGGATCGAGCCCGCAACCCGGGCCTGTGCCCTGACCGGGAATCGAACCCCGATCGCCTGGATCCTAGGTCGATGCTCAGCCAGCCGCTGAGCCACACAGGCTGGGGCTGTCTAATGTATTTTTTAATTAAATAGAATATATTTAAAATTTTAGAATGAATACCCAAGACATGTAGAATAATAGAATATTTTGACTTTAAGTAAATATCAATATAGCTACAGGGAGGAGGAAAATTAAAATATTGACAGTTTTAAAAATTTTAGTTGAAGGTGTGTGCTTAAAAAGTAAGTAAAATGTCATGTCTGCAACTGGCAAATGGTCCAACAATATCAATAATTATTTAATTTAGGTGGTGGATATATGGGAACTTATTGAACTATTATAGAATCTTCTGTACTTTTGAGATTTTTCATAATTAAACGTTGAAAGAAAGCCATGAGAAGTAATGCTCTATGGGAAGTAATGTATTCCCTTTGAAATTCTAGGAAGGTTAAAATGCATGTTCATAACACCAATAAAATTACAAGGATTTACAATGTCATCGGAACCATCAGAGGGTCTGTGGAACCTGGTGAGTCAGAATTTTTAAAACACTTTTACAAACATTAAAAAAGAGAAGATAATTTTACTCAACAGTTGATTTTTCCCCCCCAGCTGATATAAAACAATTACATTTGGAAAAAAAAATTGTGCTCCTCTAAAAGAAGGCTGTGCCTTACAGTGTTGTTTTCCTATGGAGGAAACTACAGAGGAAGTTTAACTTAAATAACATAAATTACAGCTATTTATAATGCAAAGCTGTAGTCCTTTTGAACACACTCTGTTCCAGACAGGTATGTTATCCTGGGAGGTCATCGGGATTCCTGGGTGTTTGGAGGTATTGACCCAACCACGGGGACCGCTGTTTTACAAGAAATCGTTCAGAGTTTTGGAAAACTGATGAGTAGAGGTAAATAACGTTTCTTTGGCGGGTAGGGACAAAAAGCGACTCACTGCTTTTCCTTTACTTCTAGGCAGGTGTACCTAACTGTGTGTGTTGACAATGATTGCAGGATGGAGACCCAGGAGAACCATAGTTTTCGCCAGCTGGGACGCAGAAGAATTTGGACTCCTGGGCTCCACAGAGTGGGCCGAGGTAACCGGGGCAGAGTTCTGACCTTCTCGGTCCACAGGGCGCACGTGCATCTCGGGATGTTCACAGATAGATTCTGTTACCTAAGGTGGTTTTAATTTGGAGAAAGACTCGAGGGAACTTGAGAAGTAGGCTTTGTTTTTATTTTCACATCAGTCTGGCAAAATGGAATAACCTCTTAAAATTGGTAAGTTCAGAAAATAGTCAAGACTGGTGAGCTGTTTCTGACAAGTGAACTGACTGACTCGTACAGATGGCGAGTTAATTTCCAAGCTTTGAAGTTTCCTTGGACTTCTAAGAAAAGATGTTCTGTTAACATGACTTGTTTCACATTTACAGATTCCTTACAAAACTGCAACCATGTGCATCTTTTACCATTCCCAAAAGTGCCCGATCGTTGAGTATATAATTTTGTAAATTGAACTGCTTTAAGTAAACTGCCTTCCTTTAGAATTTCGAGACTTCTCCTTCAGCTATGACGGATTTTCATTCATGACTGGCTCCTGATGGTTACCCCGGAGCCTCTCCTGGGTCACCCTCTCATCCTTTCCCCTTAGCCCCCTGCGAGTAACTCTAAGGTCTTAAATGCACAAGGTAGGCTCATAATTCTTGTAAAGGCAGGCGCCCTGTGTAAGCACTTATTTTCGCTCCACCATCCTCTGTTCATCTTTTCTAAGTGCAGGTTATTTTTATTACAAGTCCAGATTTTATAGAGTTGTTTCAAACATTTCTTGGCATTGGCTTTTTTGGTTCCTCAAATGCTTTCCTCCTGATTCATATTCTCTTACTTTAAAATAATGAATCGAACCGTTATGGGGGTGAAACCACACACAGTTACATGTCTCTCCCTTACGTGTTTGATTCCACTTATATTGCAACATTTTGTTATTATATTACTATTACAAACATGCAGTTTAGAAGGTGGCTGTTTAGATGAATCAAATTTCATTAAGGTCATTGACTTTTAGAAACAATTTCATGTGAATACACATGTATATGTAAACACATGTTTTCTATAATTTTAGCAGCTTAAAATAAAGATCAAAGAAATCTAAGATATAAAATATGCTTTGCATTAACTTAAATACATATGGGTTAAAAGACAATTTCAAGACTGTTTTAGTTTTCTACCAGACTTTTCATGGTATTCAAAGCATACATTCTGTACATAATGAAGCAATCCTCCTTCCTAAAGGAAACCGACCCTTCATCTACCTGTCGCAGAGGCAGCCACCCTCGGGCCTGCGTGGGGAGGGCAGAGAAGGGCCGCCACCGCACAGCCTTAAATGCTGATCAGTAGAACGTTCTTATAAGGTGGTAGGCGAAGGAGAAAGGCCGCGCTCAGCATATTCCATCCATGTGGAGTTAGTCTTTGTCGTTCCTGGGTGTATGGGTGTGTATGGGGGGTGGGAGGGAGAGGGAGTTGGAGTCAGAGTCAGTCTTGTGTGTGTCCTAATGTCCTTCCTCCTCCTTTTTTTTTAATCATCTCATTAAAAAAATGCATAAATGAAATTTTCTATTTTCAATTTTTTTTTTCCACTTTTAAAATGGTACATTAATTTGGGTATCCTATACCAGTGGGTCTCAAACTTCCATGTGTGAAGGATGGCCAGAACACCTTTTAGAAAATACAGATTTCCAGGCCTCACTTTCAGCAATTCTTATTCAGGAGACCTGGAGTGGGACCCAGAATATGGGAGCCTCGGCCTTTCTTACTCTGGTCAGCATCAGAATATTTTTCTTTCTTGTTTTAATTCCATTAATGTTGCCAACCAAAAAGTTATCAGCATTTTTCAGAAATTATGGCAGAAAGCATAGGCATTTGATTCATAAAGTATTTACAGACCATTTTTATATTAAATTAATTGGTTTATTTTGTTTCCATTCCCACAATTGCAAATACTAAATTTTGTGCGTTAAGTAATGACTTTGCTTTGACAGGAGAATGCAAAAGCACTCCAGGAGAGAAGCATTGCTTACATCAACTCGGATTCATCCATAGAAGGTACATTCGGTTCCTAACTAAGCTATTGAGCCTGTTTCTTTAGAATATTTACCAGTTGCTGACCTTGGGTTCCTATTTAAAACTCCAGTCTTCCTATAGAGGTATTAAGAGAATTTGGCTAAAATACTTCAGAAGAAATGGTTTACAGAATATGTCAGAAGACCTACTTGGCAAAATATTTCACACAGAAATACTTTCTGTATTGAAACGGATCTGAAGGAAGCACCAACTACAGCCCTCCTTTTGAGCCTGACATGTGACATCTGTGCCCTAGGCTTTCACTGTATTATGTCTCGATGAATGTCGGCGCATACTTACTAGCTACTGGCGTGCCCTGATCTAATGCCTTGCTGCATACTAACTGAACAAAGGAGGAACAGATGCTGTAGCCTTACCATGGTCTCTGCCAGCTCCCCGAGAGGCGCTGTGTTAAGAACGGCCCTGGGGTGACTACGGGAGCTGCTGACCCAGCAGCCAAAGTCCCCCTGTACCTTCTGAGCAGAGTGTCTACTGCGGCTTCTCTTGCTGCTGAAGAGCTAGTTCTACCTTATTTTTAACTGAGTGATTTTTAGAAAGATAGAGGAAAGAAGGGAGGAGAGAAACATCAGTTTGCTGTTCCACTTATTTATGCATCCATTGGTTGATTTCGTATGTGCCCTGACTGGGGAATGAACCCACCACCTTGGCATATTGGGACAACACACTAACCAACTACCTGGCCAGGGCTGCACCCTATTTTTAATTCCCAGGGAGTGATGCCTTTGATTTGAAGTCTATAATAAATTATTATTAGAAAATAAAGTTAGAATTAAACATAGCCTAGAATTTCATTTGCAAGTATTAAAATACTGTTTTATTTATTTTTCAGGCAATTATACTCTCAGAGTTGACTGTACACCCCTTCTTTACCAGTTGGTGTATGACCTGACAAAAGAGGTACAGACATAGATCTGTCCAGTGTTTTCTGATGAATGGATACGTGAATAATTTCTTCTTGATTGGCGGTATACTTATTTTTACATTGGTGACAGACACAGCTGATTTGTATAAATAAGAACAAAAATCTCTAATATACTATTCATGTGACATTATAATTAAGACAGTATTGCTGGTTTCTCTGCTCTAATCAGTTATTGTGCACACTGTTGTAAAGCAGAGGGTACATCATTCCATCCAGCAGAGGCATTCTGAAAGAACACTGAGCTGGAATGGGCAAGCCACGGTTCAGAGATTGCCTTGGCTACTTTTTCATTCATTCAATATTTATTGAGTGGTTACTAGTTATCAGGCCCTATAAAAAATTCTAGCCCAGCCGGGTGTGGCTCAGTGGTTGAGCATAGACCCAGGATCCAGGGGATGGCGGTTCGATTCCTGGTCAGGGCACAGGCCCGGGTTGTGGGCCTGATCCTATCAGGGGCGTGCAGGAGGCAGCCGGTCAATGACTCTCTCATCATTGATGTTTCTCTCTCTCTCTCTCTGAAATCAAAGATATATTAAAAAAATAAATTCTAGCAGCAACAGTGATAAAATGGCAAGGCCACTGAATCGAAATACTTTGTAATCTAGAGAGGAGACAGACCCGTAAATGAGGAATGGTAGTTCACTGGGATACTGGATACTACATACAATGGAAAACAGTGATGGAATAGAGAACCTAAAACCCCGGGGTAGCTGGGGAAGTTGGGAAGCATCAGAGGATGTTTACAGACAAACTCAGGGCCAATAGGGAGGAGTTGAGGGCTCTGCCCCTTTGCACAAAGGCAGATGCTCACTGATGGGCATACCAAAACTCAGTAGAAAAAGGACTCTGCATATAGGACAGTGCATATAACTGAGATGGAAAAGTCTGATCGAGGGTGTTCAGGACAAAGGGACACAGTTCTGGTTAGTGCTAGAACGGAGATGGTGTGATTCCAGAAAATGAAGAGAATTTTGCAAGGAATTTGATCCAAGGAGAATGTAAAAATCGGAGATTTCAGCTATTGGAAATTGTCAGGAGCTGAGTAGAGAGTGGGACCCAGTCAGTTGGCTGTGCCAAGACTCTTCGCTGAAGACCTATGTGATGAGGGAATAAGCGACCTATGAAAGGTCGAGATGTTCAGTTGAGATGGGTACCATTCTTCCCATTCCCCCCATTCCCACCGGTGAGAAAACTAGGATTTAAAGCAAGACACCAAAGGTTACATAACGCTTCCTGAGTTGCAAAAGTAGGGTCTGCCTTGGGTGCATTTTTGAACAAAGCAGAGCTGTAAGTGAACACGCTTCACCCCACAGGTGTGATAACATGGATCTAAAATAGAGATGGTTAGACTCCACAGTCCAGTCTTCCCACCACACGGCCCTGCTTTTCTTAGGAGAAAGCAAAGTATAAGTCTGTGCATATGCTTTTAATGAGGGTAATAAAAATGTTTATGCACACAGAGGCTCTTCCTCTTTACCCACCACCCACCCTACAAAACCAGGATTTGCATTGACAACTTCAAGCTCAGCTTCACAACCTCGATCTGCTGTCCCCAAGACTCTCTGCTGTTCTTGTACAAAAGCAGTTTACTCTAAATACTATAGCTAATTCCCCCACCCCCACTACTTGCCACTGAAAGGAATCCAAGTTGCCAAAGTGATGCCATTGATTAAAAATATGAAACTGTAAAATTTTACTAAAATAAGCAGGCAATCTTATCCTAGGTATCTGGCAAAGTTGCCAATAGGCAGACATCATAAACAAGAATTTGGGCTGGACATTCCTGCTATTTCCAAAAGCATATTTTTCGACACCAACATACATAGTTAGAAGTTGACGTTAACATGTGGTTTTATGTTGGCATAAATTTAGTTGCTTCTGCCTCTGATTCCCAATATTTGATTTCTCTTTCCAGATCTCCAGCCCCGATGATGGTTTCGAGAGTAAATCTCTTTATGAAAGCTGGTTGGAAAAGGACCCTTCCTCTGAAAATGCCAACTTTCCTAGGTAAGTTACAATCCCCTTTGCCCTTGTTTCTCCAGGCATGCGGTTCTCGAGTGCCTCACCAGCCATTTGAGTCAAGATAGCCAGCCTTTGGTGTGCTGATCAGCCAGGACAGCCAAGTCTTTGAACCCAAGTAGAGCAGAGATCTAGTTTTATAAAATTTTAATCAGTTATTTTGCCACATTATTAGGCATTATTTTGGATTCTCGTATTTTGTTCAGATATGTTTTAAATGCATTAATAAATTAACTTCAAATGATAAGGAAAAAACAAATGATTTACTTTTCAACTTATGAATGGGTATTATCAATAACCACCAAATTGTTAATCATAATACCTGTTAATCAATTTAGATTAATTTATTTAGCTCGTCTCATTCATTCAACTGTAGCTTTCCTGAATTCATTTTATATTTGTTTTATTCTTCAATACTGTTGCTAAAAGCAGATGATGGTAGCAGTTTACGGCTTCATGCCATATTCCAAATAAGTCTGTGAAAGTTTAAATGTGTTTCCATTATAAAGAAAATAGAAAAAAGATTTTAAAAATATCCAGTCTCAATCTCAAACACATCTAACAGTTTAGAAGTAACTTTTCTTCATGCATATGTAATTTTATAGTCCGCTTTTACTATTTATTACATATGCTATATATATATTATATATGTATACATGTATGTAGTGGTTTTTAAATTATATGCAAGTAACTATATTGTAATTTGATCTGTTATTTAATCTTAAATAGACTTTCTCATGGCCATTTTATTAGACCACAACTGCAGAAAATGTAGAGGCCGGCAGTCACTTGACTGCTGTCTTTGGTGGCACTGCCAAGCCCTCATTGTGGTCATTGCAGGTTTATGGGTTTATCCCACCAGTATCCAACCGATGGCCCAGAAGTGTCTTGGGGGTGGTACTTTTCCTAATTCCTATAAATGTGCCATGAAGTTCCTTGCTAGTCCCATCTATTTAATGTCATTATTTATGCATTTCTCTATGTATTTATATTCTACATCTAGAATCAACAAGCTGGGATCTGGAAGTGATTTTGAAGCTTATTTTCAGAGACTTGGAATTGCTTCAGGCAGAGCCCGTTACACTAAGAACAGGGTAAGCAAGCCATGTCACGGACTGGGCCACTTAGTGCCTCACCCACGTTCTTGTTGAGCGTTCTGTCCTTGAGTTGTGTGGTACAGGCTCTGGTGGACTGTGGCATGTGAAGAATTTCAGGGATAGAGACAGAGTGCACGTCCCTTTGTGGATGGACTAGACAGTAATTTGGGTTATTTTGTGCATTTTCACCGAAGCGGTAGCCGACAGGGGTCACGGCAAGGATGTAGCTGGTCATCAGTGCCGGGCAGTTCCCACCCTTTCCCCGACAGACGCTGGTGAGCAGTGTGATCCTCCTGGTCTTGCAGGTGCAGGTGGAGAGCATGCTTTGGTACAGGGAATGCTAAGCTAAGCTGCTTCACTGGAACTAGCCCCTCTCAGTCCTCGACAGCCTGCGACCTGTGTCCAGAGCTCCTGGCTAGGGAGAACAAGTTTCTCCATTTTCAACTTGATCCCGTTTTCTGTTCTGCACGGACTGGTTTGCCTGACTGCCGTGCCGGCACACTGGCGACACCCAAGAGCTTGGATATGCCAGCATGTACCACGCTTGCCCGCCTATGCCGTGGATTATGTTGTAAACCACACTGAACTCGGATGCCATAGATTTTAATAATTTTCACATCATAATTGCAATGTACCATCTTGCTTTTATAGAATATATAGATAGCCCTTGTGAATCAGACCAGCCAGAGTACAACTAAGAACAAAGCAAGCAAAACAGCTGCAGAACCCACAATAAATGCACATTTGTACAGTAATACTGAAATGATGGGCTTCACCTCATCAGCGCCTGCCCACCTTTATACTATGTCATTCTGAACGTTATCTAGTTACTAAGACAATGCAGATTGAAAACAATACTAGACAGGAGAGGCTGAAACAGGTATTCCTTTTAGTGATTCTAAAAGCAGTGAGAATGACAGCCTTAGAGCAATGTAGAGACTAAGAAAATATTTGCACAGAATACCACCATGTGATAATTTGTTTTTATAATGGTAGTACTTAATTGTGTAATACAGGTTAAATGGCATTTGGTTATGCACTGTGTGGGTGCTTAAGTACGTACGTAACCCTTCAGCTATATAGATCCCTAGCTGCCCAGAACCTTTCATTCCCAATCAATTTTAAATTGTGCTGCTTTGCAACTAGAGTATGAACTCCTTAATTTTAATGATCAGAAATACAATAAGGAAAATTTTCAAGACGACTTATTTTGAATGAAGATTACATGAATTAAAAAAAATAATGGTAAAGTTTTAAATCACTGAACATTTGGTGGTAGTGTTTTAGAGTTTACATTTTGTTCTTCATTGTGATAACTCAGGGTGCCATATGGCTGTATTTTCTGCAGTCATTTTATGTTTACGTGAAATATTGTGATTTGAGTATGTAATGTTTGTCTGTACTTGGTCTCCTCCCAACCTTTTCTTTAGAAAACAGATAAGTACAGCAGCTACCCATTATACCATACAATTTATGAGACGTTTGAAGTGGTAGAAAAGTTTTATGACCCCACATTTAAAAAACAGCTCTCTGTGGCTCAATTACGAGGGGCGCTGGTTTATGAGCTTGCAGACTCTCAAATCATTCCTTTCAATATTCAAGACTATGCAAAAGCTTTGAAAAACTATGCAACAAGTATCTACAATTTATCCAAGAAACATGAACAACAATTGAAAGATCATGGAGTATCATTTGGTAAGAAATGACTGAGCAGGTATTTTATAGAGGTTTAAGATATCTGTCATCATCAATTCCATCCTAGAGTTTATCCCTGCTTCACTTATTAGTTCTGGCTTCTAGAAAAAAACTTCAGACTGTGATTTAATTTGGTATTTGTAGGCTGAATCCATTTTGCTAAGTTAGGTGCTACTAATGTTGGGTTTTCCCTATATTTCTGCCTTTAAAATATTTTTACTGTTATAGGGAAAATATAGTACACTATCACAGAAATATTGGAAAGTAGAGAAAACCAATTTCACTGCATATATTTCTTTTGATGTTTGTCTACATGGACTTTTAAAAATAGTTTTAAGCATTCTTTCCTTGTACATCTGTCCATTTTGTGGTTGTCCTACAAAACATGGGTGAAATATAGTGTAGTAGCATTGGATTTTTGTTCATATCCGGCTCTAATATTTATTCACTGTGTGACCTTGGGAAAGTTACTTAACCCCTCTGTCAGTTTTCGTACAGCAAAATGATTGCTGGGGTTCGGCTGGCTGACACACAGAAGCAATGGTGACTGACAGTGCTCTTACTGCAACCATTGTGTTACTGAGAGTCTGTGTTCTTATGTTGCATACCAAGCACTGTGTTATTTCCTGGAATAAGTGTAAGGATATTTAATGCAGTCATTAAAGTCTCATGTTGGGAAGGAGAGTTTATAGAATATCTAGGGCTAAAAGGACCTTGTTTTTTATACTGAATGTACTACAGTAGGTCCTCTAATAACATTAATTCAATGTTGTTTCATTATAACAGACAAGATGCCTGTGGAGATCTTGTTTTTATCAGCTAGCCTACAATAGAACAGTTTCATTTTACGTTTCTTTCCTTCAAGTTACAGAACCAATCAGTGACGTTAAGTGAGGACTTAGTGTCCTTACTGGCAGTGTGAACTATGTATGTCCTAGGCTCTTGGAAGTTATTTCTTAAGAACCTATTTAGCTACTTTCTATTTGACACATTATTCCTGTTACAATATTTTAAGCAATTTCCATGTCTCTGCAAGAAGGCTCAGTAGAAAAATGGCTTCAATGTTATTGTCATATCAACCTAGGATTCCCAACCTGGGAGGGCAGGAATGCAAACCTCTGAAATATGAAAACTTGTGCTTGCTCATTTCCCTTCTGCTTTTCTGTTTTTGAAAGATTCCTTATTTTCTGCTGTACAAAACTTCTCGGAGGCTGCTTCAGATTTCCACAGAAGACTTACGGAAGTTGATCTTAATAAGTAAGTTTCCAATGTAAAGCTCTCCCACTGTTTTAAAACCAATCTGGCTACAAACACAGGCATTCAACTCTAAATCATCCGTTTCTTGTTCTCCAAGTCCCATTGCAGTGAGAATCGTGAACGACCAGTTGATGCTCCTGGAAAGAGCATTCATCGATCCCCTTGGTTTACCAGGGAGGAAGTTCTACAGGTAAGGAAGCACCAGGTGTTCCGCTAAAGGACACTGCAAACCTCATTATCACCAAAACCCGCATACCCCAAGTCTGCTTTACACTACTGCCGTCAGGTGAGTGGAAGGTAAATATACATATCAAGAGGAACATGAATAGGTTTATGCGTAACAGTGTAATTTATAATATCAGAAAAATTAATTCCGTGTTTATTGCTTTGCTGCAGATGACAGTTAGAAAGAACTCTAAGTCATAGAATCTTAAAGGGGATCTCACAGCTCATGTGGTTCAACCTTCTACATAAACTTTTCAATAGGATCTGAGATATAGGCAAACCTCATTTGATTTTCACATGTTGCCTTTTTTACAAATTGAAGATAAGACCCTCACCAGCAAAAAGACTGTAAAGCTTGCTTTATTGTGGTGGTTTGGAGATGAATTTGCACTATCTCCAAGGTATGCCTGTATGTGGTTATCCAGCCTGTTTGACTCTCCCAGTGACGGGTGCTTCCTACCTCTCGTGGAAGTCCATTCCAGGAAAAGTCTATGTAATGGGAAGTTTCCTTCCTAAGGATGTATTTCCCCCCTTTGATTCTGTTCTGTTCTCCAAAACCAAATAGAATAAAGCCAGATCTATTTTTATTTAACATTTTAGGCTCTTGTATTTCCCCTAAAGCAATAGTCTTTTTCTATCTAGACTTTTGCTAATCAATAAAAAGTATCTAAAGATAGACTAATAACAAGATTAAAATGATACATTGTAAACACTTAACTGATGGCTATTTTATTTGTATGAGACATATGAACATAAAGGTCTATGATTTTATAAAAATACAGCTATTTACTGAATGTCTCTCCGAGCTAAATCCTCTGTATACCTTAAATCTATAAGCCTATGGGGTGAAAGCAATTATAATCTCCATTTACATCTGGGGAAACCAAGGCTTAAAGAAATAATTTGCCCGAGCTAGGCTTGAAAATCCTGTGTTTAGAGCTTTCATGTACGTCATTTGATAATAAATAGCAGTCTTCGCCATCTTCATTCAGATGTAAACACCCTAAAGGTGACTGTTCAAATTACACGTGTAAGTGAACTAGAACATAGATTTTGATTCTAGGTGCCATTTTTCTTCTGCCAAGCACCAGTATCTCCTGCAGGGGAGGTTTTATCTGCATGTGCTGCCCAGGGAACACCCCTGGATGGTTTGGTTCAGGAGGCCACGGGGGGTTTGTGCTCCTAAGTCCCACAGGACTGTAACAATCCAACAGTTCTTGGGCTACCATCACCCCCAAGATACTACACACCCGTCTGAGAAAGCCTGTTTGCCTGTCCAGGACCTTTGGCTTGAGATGCAAGATAAAGTGTATTATCAAAAACATAAAACCTGTGGTGGGTGGGAGAGTAAATGCATTCAAATTCAAGTTATTTTCAACTTAAGACTTTTAAGTGTAAGTTGTCATATGTTAGCCTCAACCACAAAGCAAAAACCTACAGTAGATACATAAATAAGAAATCTAAGCTTACTACTAAGTAGTCATCATGCCAGAGAAGAGAGGGACTGCAAAACAATTAAGTGGCATTGAGTATAAGCCAATAATTACGTTGGAGAATTTAGTCCATTTACACTTAATCAAAACACAAAACAAGACCCATGTTTATGCAGCCTACAAGAGACCCACTTCAAAAGTAAGGACACACACAGGCTGAAAGTGAGGGGATGGAAAATAGAAATAGGTATACTATACAAATGGAAACAAGTAGCTGCACTTAGATGAGACAGACTTCAAGCCAAAAATGAGACAAAGAAGGGCACTCAATACAGGAGCACGCGTTGAGTAGAGAAATGGACAGCATTACAATAGTAGGAGACTGTAAGACCATCTTACATAAATAGGCAGACCATCCATACAGAATCAGTAGGAAAACATTGGCCTTAAATGAACATTAGGCCAGCTGACCTAAAAGATTATATATATAAAACATTCCCCCCAAAAGCAACAAAACATGGCTTTCTCAAGGATAGATCGTATATTAGGCCACAAAATAAGTTTAATACATTTAAGACTGAACTCACATCAAGCAAATTTCCCAACCATAATGATATGAAACCAGAAATCAAACACAAGAGAAAACTGGAAAACTCAAATATATGGAGATTAAAAAGCATGCTACTGAACAACCTATGAGGTCAATGTAGAAATCAAAAGACAAAAAAATACCTTGAGACAAATTCAATCTTGTCAAGCTCGTTTTATGAGTCCAGCATTACCCTGATACCCAAACCAGACAAGGACAGAAGAAAAAATTTAGGTCACTACCCTGATAAACACAGGTACAAAAATCCTCCTCAGAATATTAGCAAATGAAATTCAACACATTCAAAGGATTATACATCATGATCAAGTGGGATTTATTCCAGGGATGCAGGGGTGATTCACCATATGCAAATCAGTGTGACACTCCGTATTAACAAAAGGAAGGAGAAAAAGCATTTGACAAAATTCAACATCCATTTATGATAAAAACAACTAAGTGGGTAGAGAGGGAACACATGTCAATGTAATAAAGGCCACATATGACAAGCCTGCTACCATGATACTGAATGGTGAAAAGCTGCAGGCTTTTCAGGAAAAAGACAAGGATGGCCACTCTCGCCACTTTCAGTCAGCATACCACAGAAAACCCTAAAGATGCTACCCACACCTGTTAGGAATGATAAATTCAGTAATACTGCAGGGTAAAAAAAGCAGTATACAAAAACTATCATGTTTTTATACACCAACAATGAAGTATCAAAGAAATGAAGAAAACAATCCCACTTACAACAGAAATAAATAGAATAAAACATGAGGAATAGATTTAGCGGGAGGTGAAAGACTTGTACACTGAAAATTATAAAACACGTTGAGCCCTGGCCGGTGGCTCAGTTGGCTGGAGCCTCATTTGATCCACCAAAAGGTTGCAGATTTGATTTCCTGTCAGGGCACATACCTAGCTTGTTGGTCTTATCCCTGGTCAGGTGTGTGGGGGAGGGAACCAAAAGATGTTTCTCTCACACTGATGTCTCTCAAAAAAATAAAAACATCCTCCCACTGAAGATTAAAACATTGTTGAAAGAAATTGAAGATGACACAAAGAAATGGAAAGACAGTTCATGCTCACAGACTGGATTAAAATCATTTAGGTTCATATTACCTACAGCAATCTACAAAGTCAATGCAATCTTTATAAAAATCCCAATGACATTTTTCACAGAAATAGAACAAAAAATGCTCAATTTGTATGGAACCACAAAAGACCCTGAATAGCCAAAGCAATCCTGAGGGGGAAAAAAAACAAAACCAGATGAGTCACACACTCTGGTGTCAAACCATACTACGAAGATACAGCAATCAAAACAGTATGGCACTGGCAGAAAACCACAAATTGATGGAACAGAACTGAGAGCTAGAAATAAACCCCCATATATATGGACAACTAAATTATGACAAAGGCGCCGAAAATACACAATGAAAAAAGGGAAGTCTCTCCAATAATTAGTGTTGGGGAAACTAGATAACCACATGTAAAAGAATGAAACTAGGACACTATACAGAAAAATGAACTCAATGGATTAAAGACTTGAATGTAAGACCTGAAAACATAAAATACATAGAAAAAATATAGGTGCTAAGCTCTGGACATGAATCTTAGCAACGTTTTTGTGGATTTGATTCCAGTACAAGGGAAACAAAACCAAAACTAAACAAATGGGACTATGTCAAATTACAAGCTTCTATATATGGCAAAAGCAACCAACCAAACAGGGGAAGGTACTTCCTAATGAAACTTTGACAAGAGGTCAATGTTCAAAATATATAAAGAACTCGACAACAGCAAAAAACCTGAATAAGGAATGGTCAAAGGATCTAAATAGATGTTTTCCCTAAGACGACATACAGATGGCCAACAGACACATGAAATGAAGTTTAACATTACTAATTATTAGGGAAATGGAATCAAAACAATGAGATGTTACCTCTAACCTCCAAAAGACAAATGTGTTGCAGGGGATGTGGAAAAAAAGGGAAACTTGGTACATCACCGGTGGAACTGTAAATTAGTGAGTATGAAGGTATCTCAATAAATCGAAAATAGAACTATCGTATGACCCAGCGATTCCACTTCTGGGTATTTATATGAAGCAAACAAAAACACTAATTTGAAAAGATATATTATCCCTATGTGATTGCAGCGTTATTTACAATAGCCAAGATATGGAAACCTCCATCTAGCAATAGATGAATAAGAGTGTGTGTATACACATACACACACACACACACGTAAAGGTATAGATATAAACAATGGAATATTATCCAGCCATAAAAAGAATGAAATCCTGCCATTTGCCTTATGCTAAGTGAAATACATCAGATAGAGACAATACCATATGATCTCACATGTAGAATTCAAAAAACAAAACAAAAAAGCAGCTCGTAGATATACAGAACAGACTAGTGGTTGTCAGAGGCACGGGGTGGGGATTGTGGCAAATGGGTGAACATGGTCAAAAGTTACAAACTCCCACGAACAAAATGAGTTATGAGAATGTAACATACAGCACAGTGACTAGTTAACAGTACTGTCTTTCATATTTGGAAATTGAGTAAATTAAAAAAGGCCTCATTACAAGAAAAAAAAATTTTAACTATGTACGGTGACCGGTGTTATAGAGTGTGGTGATCATTTGGTAATATATATATTGAATAATATTGTTTTATATCTGACACAATGTTTCAATTATACCTCAATAAGAAAAAACTAATTTAAAAATAGTTCATATTGCTATGTTTCAGTCTGCAATAATATGGAAATAATTTTCCCTTCAGATTGTAAGGATTATTTTATTAATTAAATATGTATGTATTACATACTCCCACTTTTCCCAATAACTCCTTTGAGAACTGTAGCTAACTATTAATCCCAGATACACAGAATTTTTCATTCCTTTAAATGAAAATTCATTTTACTTTCCCCCCCCCTCATCTGGAAACATAGATCAGGCTTAAAAACAAACTTAAAGTTTTAAAGAATGTGAGATAAAAAAATTTTAGTATATGTATTGGATTAATGCCATTTTCAAGTTCTGTTGTTTTCAAGTTCTGTTATGAACTTCAAGAAACAGTAGACTGGCAGATTTGTAGTGCAGTAAAATTTTTCTATCACTTAGAGCTGATAAATACTGGATTCAAAAATGAGTAACCTAGTGTGTACATACACATGTATTTATTATAAAATCAGTGTTGAGATTAGTAATAAATGGGTCAAGAAAAATTATACGTATTTTAAAATAAAATGTTTTTACTGTGGAATATATTTAAAACATCTTAAAATTCAGAACTGTAATATATTGAAACAATTACAATTCAAATCAGTAATATTTCCTTCAGTGTCCTTTATTGAGCACATTTTACACATTCTAACACTACTCTTGTCATTTTTTCTCTAATGAAATTTTCATAAATTGCTTTGCAAAATAAGAGTGCCTCCCAAAGATGTCTATTTCATAATACCCAGAATCTCTGAATATGTTGGGTAACAGCAAAGAGGAATTAAGGGAGCAGATGGAATTCAGGCTGCTAATCAGGTTACCTCATGATAGGAACATTTTCCTGGATTTTTGGGGTAGGCACAATCATGTAATCACGAGTCCTTAGAGAGGGAGGAAGAACAATAAGTCAGAGCGATGCCATGTGACAAGGACTCACTCTGACCTGCTCATGCTGGTTTTGCAGATGGAAAATTGAGGGAGGCCTGTAGTAGCTAGAAAACCATAAGGAAATGGATTCTCCCTTAAAACTGCCACAAAGTATGGCCCTGCTGATACCTTAATTTCAGCCTAGGGAGAGCCATGTCAGATTTCTAACTTATAGAACTGTAAGATAAGAAAATGTTTAAAGCCCCTGTCTGTGATAAATTATTACAAGAACATTAGAAAACACACTCTGTAGAGTATTAAATAAGCTTGCTTTTCTTGTAAGCATCAAGTGAAGTAGGTATGCAGAAGTCTTTAAAAGCTGCAAAGCATTTGATCATAAATATGTGAAAGCATTTTCCTTATGTATTAAGGAAAAGTTGGGGAAAAAGGATTATAGTCTAGTCTAGATGTAGACTGTAGTCTACAATATGCTATAGTTCTTGATACCTCTTGAATTCAGGTATGTTCACTGTGGAGGGTGATGTATTTTCATGATACAGTTGTTGAGAACTAGACCAGAGTTTGAATTGTTATGGGGCCAGAAGTTTTTGGGGTCTATCATTCATGAAAGGGTATTTGGTTTGGTTAAACATTGCCCATTGTCAGATTATTTCTTTCAGCTAACTTCCTGCTTAAATATTATATAAGTGTAGTGGGTATACAGTATTATATTAGTTTCAGGTGTACAGTGATTCAATATTTATACACCTCACAATATAATCACCCCACTAATCACCACACAATGTAATCACCTGTCACTGCAAGCTTATCACAATTATTGACTACATTCCCCTTCACCACCCTGCCCCTTTCTGGCAACCCTCAGTTTGATCTCTGTTTCTGAGTCAGTTTTTGTTGTTTTTATGTTTGTTTTTTAAGATTCCACATATAAGTGAAACCATAAAGTATTTGTTTCTCTCTCTGACTTATTTCAGTTAGCCTAATACCCTCTAGGTCCATCCATGTTGTGCAAACTGCAAGATTCCTTGTTCTGAGGGAATTATGGAAAGGATTTAGCCTCAGAATAACAGCTAATATTCACTGAGCATTTACTCAATGTCAAGTTATATTGAGTGGTTTCCACCCAGTTTGGTTTTCACAACAATCCTTTGAGAACGGTACTATTATAAGCCCCATTTTAAAGATGAAAACACAAGCACAGGGACGTTAGGTAACCAGTGGGAGGTCAGAAGGTAAACATGATAGCCTTCTGATTTTGAAACAGGCATTTTGACTCCAAAACTCAATTCATCACTACTCCAGGCAGAGCCCATGTTATTTCAGTTCTTTTACACATACAAGTTTAGAGAAGTCAGGTAATTTGCCAAAGACCACAGGCATTAGATGCCAGGTCAATGATTCAAACGTTTGTTTGATTCCTATAATCAATACATTTTTAAAAATACACTCCCCCTTTACAGTCCAGAAGAGGACAAGTACACTAAGGAGTGCCTATGATCTGTATCTTCAATATCTCAACCCGTATGTAGGTCACGATATCAATGCTTACACAACAGTGTAGCACTGGTACTCGTTTTAGTAAGCTAGATCCATGAGGCCATAATGAGATTTAAAAGCCAGGAGTGATAAAACCTGATGTACTTGGGAAATTTAATTAACCTTCTACATTTATCTTTGATCATTATTACTGACTTGATAGAGTTCCATATTTTTTCATATAGTATTATCTCATAGTTTGAAGAAACCATAGGATTTTAGTGTTAGAAAGAATTTCTTAAAGAATGAAATACCCTCCGGTATTTCTTTCTTTTTTTTTTTTTAAATAGATCTTTATTGATTTCAGAGAGAGGGGAGAGGGAGAGAGAGAGATAGAAACATCAATGATGAGTCATTGATCAAGCCCGAAACCCGGGCATGTGCCCTGACCGGGAATCGAACCCTGATCGCCTGGATCCTAGGTAGACGCTCAACCGCTGAGCCACGCCCGGCCGGGCGAAAGAATTTCTGATAAGACTGTTAAATATGTAGCTTGATCTCTTGAGCTACTTAGGAGACGAAGTTGGGAATCTACTGCAAAACTTTCCTTCTATATCACAACTGTGTCTGTGGGCAACCCATATATAACTGTTTTACCTTTGTGGAATAGGCTTCATTATCCTTACCATCTATGATATTTTGGGAATACAAGCTTCTTCAGTATTGCTTTTTAATGTCTGAAGAGTACTAAGAACAATTGTCATTCTTGTTGAATCTCTAAAATAGGCAACACAAAGATAAATTACTGTTTTCAATCTCCTCTCTCTTGCATTATATCCATAAAGCACACATTTTATCACTGTGGCAGTCCAGTCATTCTGACAACTAATGCACACAACGTAAAAGAACCTAGTTCCATTCCAACCCGTTACTATGGGTTGGCAACATATGACTCATGAGACAGGTCTTAGCAAATATATGTTGTTAGTTCCTTTCTTTGCTTAAAATTATACTGTTACGTACCTCAAATCAATTATATATGTCTTCATTTTGGAGTAACACAAGTGAATGCCAGAAGACAAAGCTTACTACAGTAAGATGTGATCTAATAACAAATTTTAAAAAGGCATATAAGCTATAATATATGTATACACTTTAGCTCAACCTGTCTTACGTTTTTTTCTTAATAGGCACATCATCTTTGCTCCAAGTAGGCACAACAAATATGCTGGAGAATCGTTTCCTGGGATCTATGATGCTATGTTTGACATTGAAAATAAAGCCGACCCACGTTCAGCCTGGACAGAAGTAAAGAAACACATTTCTATTGCAGCCTTTACAATTCAAGCAGCAGCAGGGACACTGAAAGTGGTGGTATAGTAAGGTCTCAGACCAGTGGCTATCCATTAAAAGTACCCAGTGGACATCTGAGGATAAAACCCATCTTTCTCTTTGATCGTTCCTTTCATGTCATGTTTGATTTTAGACTTCCACCTTGTTATCTGCAAAGAGTTTCTGCCTCAATACATTGGTGATGACGTTTTGAATTTTTAATCTAATAAAATAAAAAACTCCAGTGGTGGCAGAAAGAGACAAAGTAACTGAAAATTCTCTAAAATAAGATACAGCAAGGAACTTGAACTCTCAGACATTGCTAGTAGAAATGTAAAATGGTATAACTACTTTGGAAAACAGTTTGGCAGTTTCTTATAAAGTTAATCATACTTCATGGCTCCAAAATTCTACTTCTACGTATTTACTAGAGAAGCAAAACATGATCACAAAAAAGGCTCTCACATGCATGTTCCCAGTACCTTACAGTAAATAAGTTCAATGGATGAATGGGTAAATTTTGGTATATCCACAACGGAACACTATTTATCAGTACAAATGAAATAACTGCCAATACATGTAATATTGGCAGATGTTGAGAGAAAGAAGCCAGACACAGAAGAATACCTAGCATATGACTGTATTTATATGAAAAAGAGGCAACAGTAATCTGTGGTGTTAGAAATAAATTAGATCAGCGATTGCCTGGAGCAAGTAAGGACAGGGAAAGAGGTATAAGGAAACTTTCTGGGATGATGGGAGTTTTCTGTATCCTGATATGGGTGATGGTTACATAGGTGTATACATTTGTCAAACCTCATCAAACTGTAAACTTAAAATGTGTGAAAATTATTCCTCAATAAATGTGATTACAACTCCCTCCCCCCACCCCCAAAAAAGAAAAGGAAACCTGTATAGCACACCTTCTCTTGTAAAATCACCATGGAGTTCAAATCAGAAGGAAAAAGTGAAGAGTATACATACTTTTTAATAGCTTCACATCTACTGAATAATATGTGTAATAAAGCAAATAGTTGCTACAAATCTTCATACTCCTATAAATAAAACTGTATCAGCATGTGTAAATTTTATGCAGAGCCTAATGACTCACAATTATGAGTAAGCTGACAAAAGCTTCAACAAGCTTAGATGTTCTATTAGCCAAAATGAATTGAGAAGAAAAAAATTTAAAAGGCCCTATAGGCAGGCACACTTAACTACAACAAGAAGTGACCACTCAAAGTTTGACTGCAAGGAGAAACTACCCCTGCTACTCTTGCTTGCTAACCAACAAAACAATAGGAATAATTAGTTTAGGGAAAAAATTTCCTATATATCTCAGTATTACCAGAGGGTATCTCACTGACTTTGCACAATAACAAGTGGGGATTAACACAATAACGTAACAAATAATGGGATTTGGCAAAAGTTCTGAGAAGAAAGTTAAAAGTAATAAATGCACATATATTAAGAAATTAGAGCTCAAACAATCTAACTTTATATCTCAAGGAATTAGAAAAAATAACATTAACAAAGTTAACAGAAGGAAATTACATATAAAGATCAGAGTGAAAATGAATGCAACAGAAATCAGAGAAAAATAACAAAGGCTCAATGAGACCAGAAGCTGATTTGTTAAAAAGATAAAAATTGATGAGTCTTTAGCAGGACTAAAAAAAGAAGGCTCAAAATTAGAAATGAAAAAGACAAACAACTAATACGACAGAAATACCCAGGACCACGAGAGACTATTATGAAAAATTATATGCCAACTAATTAGATACCCTAGAAGAGATGGGTAAATTTCTAGAAACACAGCCTAGCAATACTGAATCCAAAACAGAAAACCTGAACAGACTACTAATGGACAAAGAGACCGAGTCAGCAATCAAAGACCTCCCGCCACAGAAAGCTCCAGGAGAAATGGCTTCACTGAAGTCTACCAAACACTCAAAGAATTAACACCAATCTTTCTTAAACTTCCAAAACTTTGAGGAAGAAGAAATACTCCCAAACTCATTCTTTGAGGCCAGCACTGCCCTGACACCAAAGCCAGATAAGGCTACCATAAGAAAACTATAGATCAACACCCATGATGAACAGAAATACAAATTTTCTCAACAGAATATTAGCAAACCGAATTCATAAACCAAGTAAAAAGGATTATACACCATGACCAAGTGGGATTTATCCCTGTAATGCAAGGATGGTTTAAAATATGCAAGTCAGTGTACATAATACATTACTAAAATGAAAGATAAAAATCACATCTCAACAGACGGGGGAGAAAACATTTGACAAAATATAACATCCTTTGATGATTAAAACCCTCAGGAGATTGGGTACAGAAGAAACACACCTCAGCATAAGACAGGCCAAAAACGACAAACCCACAGCTAACATAATATTCAAAGGAGAAAACACTGAAAGCCTTCCCTTTACAATCAGGAACAGGACAAGGATGCCCACTCTCTACCCGTATTCGGCACAGCACTGGAACGACCAGTTGCCGCAGTTAGGCAAGACGGCGAAACAAAAGGTATCCAAATGGGAAGGGAAGAAGTAAACCTGTCGCTACTTGCAGATTGTAAGATTTTGTACACAGATATTCCCAAAGACTTAACCAAAAGACTTAGACATCATCAGTGATTTCAGTACAGTTACAAGATACAAAACCAACGTACAGAATCAGTTACATTTCTTTTTTACATTTTTTTTTTATTTGACAGAGGAAGGGAGAAACATTGATTGGTTGCCTCCCATACATGCCTCCACTGGGGACTGAACCCGCCACCTTTTGGTGTACAGGATGATGCTCCAGCCAACTAAGCCATACTGGCCAGGGCTAATCAGTTACATTTCTATACACTAAAGATGAAACATCGTAAAAAGAAATAAAATGACCCTATTCACAGTAACATCAAGAACAACAAAATTCTTAGGACTAATTTTAATCAAGAAAATGAAAGATCTTCATAATGAAAACTACACGACTTTGCTGAAAAAAATCAAAGACACAAGCAAGTTGTTTACAGACTGGTAGAATTAATGCTGTTATAATGTCCATACAACCCAAAGTCATCTATATATTCTATTCAATCTCCATCAAAATACCAATGGCATTCTTCACCCAAGTAGAAAAAACAATCCTAAAATTTGTATGGAACCACAAAGGACACCAAATAACCAAAGCAATCCTGAAGAGAAAGGACAAAGCTGGAAATACCACACTTTATGCATTACAAAGCAACAGCAATAAAAATAGTATGGTACAAGCAAGATAAATGGAATAGAGTTCAGATTTAACCCCTGCTTATATAGTCAAGTAATATTTAACAAGGGAGCCAAGAACATCCACTGGGCAAAGAATAGTCTGGGAAAACTGGATAAACACATACAGAGCAATAAAATTGGACCCCTATCTTATACCATACGCAAAAACTCAAAATTAATCAAAGATTTAAACATAAGACCTCATACTATAAAAATTAGGGAAGTAGTTTCTTTACATGGGTAGTGGCAATGATTTCTTAGGTATGACAACAAAAGCACAAACAACATAAGCAAAAACCAACAAATCGGACTACATCAAAAATTAAAACTTGCATAGGAAAATAATTCAAAAATTAAAAGGCAACATACAAAATGGGAGAAAAATAATTTTTTGTAAACCATATATCTGATAAGGGGTTAATAAAAAAAATATATAAAGAACTCTAAAAGTTTAATTAAAAAAACAAGCAGAATAAATAGACATTTTTCCAAAGACATTCAAATGGCCAACAGGTACATGAAAAGATACTCAGTATCACTAATCATCACGGAAATGGAAATTAAAACACGATTAGACATCACTTCACACCTGTTAGAATGGCCATTATAAAAAACACAAGACATAAGCGCTGGTGAGGATCTGGAGAAAACAGAATCCTTACACACTGTGGGTGCACTGTAAACTCGTGTGGTGCAGCCATATGGACCATCAGTATGGAGGTTTCTCAAAAAATTAAAGATAGAACCACCATATGACCCAGCAGTTCCATTTCTGGGTATTTATCTGAAGAAAATGAAAAACACTATCAAAAATATATACGCACTTCCACGTTCACTGCAGTATTATTTACAATAGCCAGGATATAGAAACTTGTGTCCACAAATACATGAAGAACATATAGTACATATATATCAGGAGAAATGAGGACATTCTGACATTTGCGACAACATGAATGAACCTTGAGCACACTATGCTGAGAGAGAGAAGTCAAAGACAAGTATAATATCACATGTGGAATTTTAAAAAGCTAAACCTGTAGAACAGAAAGTGGTGGTTACCAAGGAATGGGGGTTGGGGGACTAATACAAATCCAGAATTAGTAAATAAGCCCCAGATATATCAAAGTACATGTGAGTATAATCATCAAACTTGCTGAGAGTGAACCTAATTATTCCAACTGTCAAAAAGAAAGGATAATTATATAACATGATAAAGGTGCTAATATCACTTCCATGAAAATCATATTACAATATACAAATGTTCAAACACACTGTACACCTTAAATTTACACAATGTTATAGACACACTGTACACCTTAAATTTACACAATATTATAGACACACTGTACACCTTAAATTTACACAATGTTATATGTCAGGTAAAATTTTTAAAAGGACTCTAGAAGAGGGTGCATGCTTTATCTTACACCACTGGCATGGGACCTCCTTAAGTGCTCATTAAATTTCAAAACAACACAAATGTTAAGAGAGAACATACAATAAACTTCCATGTACTCAGAACCTAGCTCAAAGAATCATCCCTCAAAAACATTAACAAAAAAATCACACCAAAAACCAAACAAACCTCTACTTTCCCCCCTCTATCCATCTGCAATCAGCTTAAACTGTTAAGCATTATTCTCCTTTCATGCCATTCCTTGGTCTATATCCTGAGATAAGGATACTTAGGAAATGGAAAATAAAAATAAATTATTTTGCTATTTGTTGCATTACCTGTTTTATTACTGACTTTAAAAATAAAATTTAAGCCCAGCTGGTGTTGCTCAGTGGTCGAGACAGACCCATGAACCAAGAGGTCACCGGTTCAATTCCTGGTCAGGGCACATGTCTGGGTTGTGGGCTCAATCCCCAGTAGGGAGCATGCAGGAGCAGCCTATTAATGTTTCTCTCTCTCTCATCAATGTTTCTATCTATCCCTCTCCATCTCTCTAAAAGGCCAATAAAAACATTTAAAAAATAGAGGGACATTTTAAAAAATCAAATTTAAATAAGCCATAAATTCCTATTATAACGCAATAATTTAATAATTAAAAAACATAAACATGCTTAATAAAAACTGTCTAATATAAATAAAAGTTGTCAGTAGATGAGCAGATATAAAAGCTGTGGTATATTTACAAAATGTACTACTTACTTGGTAGTAAAAAAGAAGGAAATCTTACCCTTTGTGACAGCATAGATAGACATGGAAAGCGTTATGCCAAGTAAAATAAGAACAGCAAGTATCATATGATTTCACTCATATGTGGAATCTAATGAACAAAATAATCTATAAAGCAAAACAGAGACAGACCCACAGTGAGCAGGCTGGCAGCTGTGTGTGCGGATTGCTGGGGGAGGTAGAAGAGGCTATGGGGGATTAAGTGGTGATGGAAGGAGACTTGGCATGGTGAACACACAATATTGTACAGACGATGTGTGTGCAAACCTGTATAAACCAGTCAACCCAATAAATTAAAAAAAAAAGGAAAAAAACCCTAGTAAACAAAAATGCATTTGAAATGTAATATATGTATATAGTTTAGTTCAGAAATTCTAAAAATTTATTCTAAACAGGGAAGAATTGTGTGACAAAGGTGTTTACTGCTGCATTTATTAATCATAATAAAAAGTGAACTAAATATTCACCAATAGGGAAGTAATTAACTTACAGTATAACCAAGAATCATAAAACTGATAAAACATTTTTTATTCTTATAGTATGCTGTTTGAGTTATTGCTGAGTTGGAAAATATGGTGACAAAACAATGTACTGATAGCATGTAAAATGCCAACAATGCATATATTCAGGCGGATTTTTAGATGATTTTTACTTTTGATATTTTTCTGTATTGCTTGAATATATATATATATATATATATATATTTAAGTATATCTCTACTGATTTCAGAAAGAGGAAAAGAGAGAGAGAGAGAGAGAGAGAGAGAGAGAGAAAAACATCAATGATGAGAGAGTCATTGATCGGCTGCCTCCTGCACGCCCCCAACTGGGGATCGAGCCCACAACCCAGGCATGTGCCCTGACCGGGAATCGAACCCCAATCACCTGGATCCCAGGTCGACGCTCAACCGCTGAGCTACACCCAGCCAGGCTTGCTAGAATTTCTTATATCAGAATATATTCTTTTTATATAAGAGCTACAATATGGCTCTTTCCATTTTTCCATAGAAAAAAGTACATGGAGTTTGGGGATGCAATCAAGTTCACAAAAACCTCTGTGTGTCCTTGCAGTTCACTAATTTTCCTGTTTGGAGGACAGATGTAAGACTCATGTATATATGCATACTTGGGCTATTTTAATATTTAAATTTTAGAAATATCAATTAATTGGCCCTCAACTTTCAGGTTTATACATAAAGATGAAATACAAGATAATTATTTTCCAATTTGAGAAAATAAGTACTGGGTTATAACTCAAAATATAAAATACAGTCTATATTGATATGATTAAAATGGGAAGAGAAAAACTTCCCAAGCACAAAAATTTTAAATTTAAGTAGATACTTGACCCTCAAGAGTATTATTTATAACCAAAACCATCCAGGCAAAGGACTACATATTTTATTTTATAAATTTATTTTCTAACAGAATATATGGAAAAAATGCGTTCCTGGTGACCAAACAGTTACTAGTTTTTCATGTCATGTGCCAATGTTTTATGGAGCCTATTAATTCAACTGACAGACATAAGCAGTACAGGATAGTGAAGAGCACACAACACCTTTAAAGCTAGGATGCCCGAGTCTGAATTCTCTACTCCACAACTCACTCAGGACAAGTTATTCAACCTATGTACCATAAATCAATTTCCTCTCCTGTAATATAATAATAGAACCTACCTGATAGGGTTGTCACGAGGATCAAGTTCATATTCACTGCAGTCCTTAGAACAGCAACTGGCCCATCCATCACAAGTCCTGCACGTCTTGATAGTTACAAAAGCCAACCAACATTCAAGTATCATATTAGAAAGTGAGGAAAAAATGACTGGCCAAAATATAAACAAAGTTATATGCAGTCTATGAGAAGATACAGACACTGACAAATTAATCAGAGAAGTAAATAAGATATAAAGTATGGAACTGCTAACTGAAATAAGCATTATGAAGAAAAGATAAGCATTTTAAAAAGTACTGGTATTCCCACCTAGCATCACTTTTTGAGGTGGGAAGTTTCCCTGTTCCAGGTTTAACCAGTACTTTTACTTAAATTATCAGTCTTAAAAATGATAATTTAATAATTCAGTCATCTGGACAGGTAACTTGGTGAAGAGTGAAAGGCAAGTTAAATTATTTTGACATGATCTTTAAAGCAACATAAAAATATTTAAGCTTGGAAGTTTCATTTCCACTTTAATAGATATTCAAGATGGTCTAGTAAATTGGAAAACAAAAAAGTCATTAATTAGCATTTAATAAAAACGTGCTGCTCAGAACTGTTCAAGGAATTCTTCCCAACTAAAGAGCTATATAAAAACTTAACATCAAATGATAGCTACACAGAAGAAAACTTGGCAAGCCCAGTATTTCCGGGATAATGCCGCACATATACAACCCCAGGTGCCTACCCTTACTTAACAAGGCAGGCCATGCAACAATTCCAGATGAGTTTAAGTTGTAAGCTACTTGGGCAGTAAGAAAGCAATAAGGTAAAAAACCAACTTCCTAACTACCTAACAGACCAATAATTAAAAGAAATTTAACACCAAATAACAAAACCTAAAAACTAGATGGATTTAGCTTCCATTTTAGCACCGAGGACAAAGATTATGATATAAGCAACAGATTCAAAACAAGTATGAGTGCTTGATCAAAGTAACTTATAATGAAACCAAAAAACCCATTAACATTCTAACAGTTACCTTCAAAGTACCTGGCTGTTACGTAGAGCACATACCCAAAGACCTCATAAATGAGCTTTTAAAAAGTTTATTGTGCGTGTATGCATGACAAGCATTTTCAGGCGGGAATGACTGATTTTTTTTAAAAAAAACAAAGGGTAGCAGAGCAATAATACAAAGTCACTTAATGTATCTGTAAGAACTCTTTAAGGTTCTCTTTACCCTTAGATGGCTGAAAAGTTATCTAAAGAAAACCAAACAAAAGAAGTTATACATAATAAAAATTAAAATCTGATATAAAATATAAACTTTAATAAAATAGATCATTACAGTCCTTTGCCATATATGGTTAGAACAGGAAGTTGTATCTTTGACCTATAAACATCTGTCCACGGTAGACTGATTTCAATTTATATTTTTAATGGTTTATAAATTCCTGGCTTAAATTATTACCAAAAGCCAGGGTAGGTCTCAAGAACTACCCTTTAACAGTGTTCCTCTAAAAACAGATGGTCAAAATTAATTTCCTACCTTCGTTAATAGACTAATTTTAGTTTTGTAAATGTTCTAGGTAAGATTTTAACATAAGGGGAAGATTAATATAGCACATAAAGAACTCTGTACTTTTTTTGCAACACTTCTGTAAATCTAAACTTATCTAAAAATAAGGTTTAAAAGAAATAAAACCTCAACTTCTTAGGACCATACTTACTTTACACTAGCAAATGTGCTAGGCAAGAAAAGTTTCCCATCGTTAGTTCAGCTATAGAATTAGTTACCAAATATATAATAAACCCAGCTTTGACTGCTTTGCTATAGTAATTACCCTAAATGTGAGAAAGATAAAGCATATTTCTAGAGAAACAATTTAATAAAGTTGGCCATTTCTAAATTTTTTGACAGACTGAAAAAAGTAAAACATATTTTACCTAATTATAAATGTGTCTAGTGTCATTTAGGTTTTTATATGGGCAACAAATTCAGAGGTTCATGGAAATAACAGAAGTGTCACTAATGTAATCAGACTAAATACATAAGCTGTATCCAAAAGCAATAAAAAACTCAGTGCTTTGTAACTAACTCTTAGGTGTATAATCCACTTGCTTTAAATAATAGGTCAATCAAACAGAACATATTAAGATACTGTTTAGGGAAAATAGCCTCAAAGAAAACACAAAAAGAGTATATTAATCATTACCTCAAATCAAAATAAGTAGCAACTTTTCCTTAAACAATAAAGATCCACCCAATAAAGATTGTCCAAATGAACCCAGGTTCCTAAATTATAAAATATAACTTAAAAAATTTTAAATACAATTCACTATAAACTTATATACTCTAGCTGGGTACAATTTTTACTGCCAAAAATTTCTTGCCATGGTATTTCATGAAAGCCTAGTCGACAGGTTTTTTGCAACAGAGCTAAACCATTTAATTACATAATTACATCTAATAGTTATTTGCTAAGGGTAGTAGAGTGACATATACTAACTCTTTAATTAAAATTGTACCTTTGCAAATTTTCCATTACAAAAATTCCACTCATCCCAAGGAAAAAAAACACTCAAGGGGCTTTGGAAATAATCATTTTAATCTATGTAAGCATAATTCATGCCCAAAAAATTCTCCAAGAGTTTTGGCCTTCATAATATTTTCCATTTTCTTCATAAGCTCTGAACTACCTCAAAAAGTAAGCTATCCTTTAATGTGTTTAATAAGCATAAACAATCTAATTCTGTGATACCTATTTAATAAAGTACAATATATAATCAGCACTGTATCACCTAGAATTGTCAAACTGTTCATGAAAGCTGAAAAAAAATATAAAACAATTATGCTATTTAACATGTAATACTTGTCATAAAGCAAAGCCTAAATATTTAGTTTTCTGAAACTCTAATGTATTCCCATAAGCCTTTTAATCTAGAATTTTATACAGTTTACCATCAGGAAAGCCAAATATATACTTAATTTTTCTTTATATGTAATTAAAAATTTAAGAGGATGTAGGCTATGATTCAGATACAATTTAGCCATAACACCATACCAAGACCTTATAAATAACCAGGAGATATTTAACATTATTGCTTAGTCTTATAAAATGAATTTTAACCAAATTCATACCTCTATAGTTTTAGAATTAGTCCTCCTACAGAAAGTAACCGTCCCGAGTGGAAAAAACATTGTGGAGCTTTATCTTTTAAGATTTTCAAGTATATAGAAACAGAAACTCAAGAAAAAACTAATTAAAAATTTAACATTCCACCTTGCTTTACTAATTATGGAATAATAGAGATGTGAACAAGTGTTACCTTATATTTCTCTGCCTTATATTTCTCTGCTTAACATAATATTGTACTAAGAACTATTCTATGAGCTATTTTCTAGCTTCTTCAAGTATGGGACACAACTACAGTTCTATTAGTGAGAAGAAATGAATAATCAATTTTAGGTAACTCAAAAAAAAAAGGGAGGCACAAAAAGATAAACTGACTTTGGCTTTTAAGAACCTACAACCGTTGACCCTGAAACGCCAGATTCAACAACAACAACAACAGAAAAAAAGATTACAGCAGCAAGCCAACACTTCACCACACATTAAGAATTCTGAAATAGGTAATAAGTTTTTATTTCCTCTCAGTTCATTCTGTTTTATCTTCTTTTTGTTTTTCCTGGGTTTTGGTTGCAGGCAGTTCAAGGCTTGCCCACTGCATAGGTTCAGCTTTTCTCATGGTGATCTCAATCTTTGTTGCAGTCATAGTTACATAACTTCGCTTTACATCAATCACCTGCAACATATCCAAGAGAATTAAAGTAAATCTGGGTAGTTTAATTAGTCTTAGAGGAAAACACTGGTCTTACTTATGTTAATTATCAAAAACCCAAGACACTGATGCCATTTCTATACCTAGATTTCAACATTTTGGTTAGAATAACCAGAAGTCATATACCTATCTTCCATCAATTGTTAATGTATGCCTTTTATTATACAAATGGTATTTTAAATTATAAGAAAAAATTCTGCTGGATTCTTAATACTTACACCCCATAATTTCACATTTTGATGAAATTCCTTCTCTCCTTCAAATACAATGTGCACATTTAACTGAAAAGATAAAGGAAGTTGAGTAACTGATCAAATCCAAACGGAAGGTTTATGATATAAAACAATGATTATAAAAATAAGAAGATAGTGATAAAAATCATTTACGCTATTTTAACAAACTGCCAATATTGTATTTTTTATTTCAGAAAACCATTAACAGAAAAGAAAAATTAGCTTGAAGTTTTAGATTGAGAGAACTAAGTACCATATTATTTGATAAATTTTCTAAGCTACTATAGTATCTCCAGAATGCTTCACAAATAACTACTATGTAGAAATTTTCATTTAAAATAGTTTCTGTTAAAGTAATTTCAAACTATTTTTTCAAATGGGAATGTTGAAAAGATCTTACCTTAAAATCAGCTCAAATAAGAACAATATTACATCAATACAAAGAATAAATGCATAAAGACAATTTTTAGTCAGAGATATTTAGTGTACTTACCAATGTACTATTTGCTACTACTTGACTAAGTTCTGGAAGTGAATTTTTAGCATACACTGAAATGGTGACTTGACCCCCAGTTTGATGCCAGTCATGTCTACATGGAACAACTTTTTTCCCCTGCAATATAAGACAAACTTTATGAATTTACAAAGTGTTACAAAATCTCTGAAAAAGAAGAATTTGAACCATCTAAGTGAGAAAAAATTACCATGTGCAACTGAGCCCTTAACATTTGTAAGGGCAAACTTCTATAGTTGCCATCAAAAAGTATGAACAATAAACCTTATCGTGATACAAAAAATCTTTATAGTTTTATGATTTGAGAACATGCTTATTCCTTCTATTTGATTTTTTTTCTTTTAGGGCCATAGTATTAGTATACATTGAGAAAGGCAATTTGAAAACTCCTACAAAACTTTATCCAGTTTTAAAATTCTGCAATCTACCAAGTACAGTCATAAAAACATACTTTGAAGTGAGAAAGACATGTGCTTAGTGGTATAACCAGGCAACATCTCATGAACAGGAACCTTTATTTTCTATAAACTGGAATTTGGAAAAAAGTAATTGACCATTTACAACTATTTCTTATTGTTATTGAATAATTACTTTCACATAATAATATGCAGAAAAAAGTGAGAATTTGTGAAAGTAATCTTTTGGTTAATTACTATTATGGAAATAATTATCTACCAGTGGTACATTGCTGTATCAGCAACTATTTATAAGAGAGACAAATTGTGATTTGTTTTATAAATGAGGATAAATTAGTCACATAATGCAGGAACCTGTGAGGCACTATTGTTGTAAAAAACAGTATTTACATTTTGGTACAATTATACTAACTGAATTTAAATTACTTTTATCACTTACATGTTTTTGCCTTAGGCCACTGGTTTAGATGCTCAATACTTGATAAATGCATGCATTAAAAATAACAAAAATATTTCACCTGGGGTTATAGTCTGAAAACTTTTGCATATAATAGAAAACAACAGTTTAATTATTCAAACTACATCTTTCAAACTTTTGGACCTTGGAGAAAATACAGAAAGACTTCACTTTTTGCTAAAATATTCCTAGAAGTTTTGTGGTAGATGAATTATTATAATTTGAGGGATATACAGGGTGGGGGAAAAACAGGTTTACAGCTGTTCATATGGAAAATAACAATTATTAATAAATACAAAAATAAACTGTTTCATGTACTCACAACTGTAAACCTACTTTTGTCCCACCTGTATTTATAATCTCCAACCAGTGTTATTAAAAAACAGAAAATGTGGAATACTCAAATGCAGAAGAAATGAATTCCTAAAGCAATCTGAAAATTTACAATTACTTTTTAAGTTAAAAGGCACATATACTGAAAAGGCTGACTGCCTTGGGTTTATTAGTGCCAATGCAGCACGTAAATCTAATTTAATACATTACAAACTACATTAATAATAGTTATAAACATTTATTTAGCAATAAATTGCTTGCGTTTTTACAACTTAATGGGACTTGGAGGGGAATTATTTGTGGAGCCTCAAGTCTTTTTAAAAAGCTGTCCAGGGAAGTAGAAACTGATGCTTTCTTTTTTCTGTTGATAATTTCCCTGTAGCAAGCAGAGACATTCAAAACAATTCCAACAACTCTGCAATCCTCCTTTTTGGACACCAGATGAAGTATTTGTGCATCTGTAAATGGCTGAATGAACGTTTAAGAGGGCAAAAGAGAATCAGAGGTCTAAATGATCAAATAACATAAAATGAGCAGAAAGTGATTTTTGTTAAACAAAAAGTGGGACCATGCCTGGCCTGGTGTGGCTCAGTGGTTGAGTGTTGGCCCATGGACCAGGTGGTCATGGTTCGATTCCTGGTCAGGGCACATGCCTGGGTTTTGGGCTCAATTCCCAATGAGGGGTGTGCAGCAGGCAGCCGATCGATGGTTCACTCTCATCACTGATGTTTCTCTCTCAGAAATAAATAAAAACATACTAAGAAAAGGGGGGGGGAGTGGGAACAGACCATGTAATTACAGAAAAACATGCTCTACTTTCTCCAGGCTTAAGTATTTCATAAACATCTATATACTGGCATCAATGATTTTATATATATACATACATATATATATTTTATTTTAAATATGTCTTTATCTATTTCAGAGAGAAGAAGGGAGAGAGAGAAACATCAGTGATGAAAGAGTCATTGATTGGCTGCCTCCTGCATGCCCCCTGTTGAGGATTGACCCCGCAACCCGGGCATGTGCTCTGATCTGTGAATCAAACCTCGATCTCCTGGATCCTAAGTCAATGCTCCACTGCTGAACCATGCCAGTCAGGCACACTATAACTATTTTGATCAAAGGGCATGCTCTGGGAGCTTGACTCAGATTAATTTTAGTTTTTAGGCCCATCAAAACTCTACTGCATGAAGGACCTTTTTTATTTTAATCTAAAGACAGCAAAATCTAAAATTTTAAAAAATGACTCAGATGAATACACCCTAAAGTGTTATCTTGAAAAGGTTACTTACAGCATCCTTAGCCGTCCACATGTGTTTCCCTGTGGTACAGCCCTCTTGGGCTAAGAAGGTATTAAAATCAGAAGTTTTTCTTCTACAACAGCTCCAGTATTTCATCCTTTAAATTATCATAGAAATATTTCAGAAATAAAATCTCACAACCAATTAAATCCAGAACTATCATAGTGAGAAGTGTGATTTAAAAAAAATCAATCAATAAGTGTGCAACTTTAGTATCTTACAAGTGTCTAAGTTACCAGTTAAAATTATCAAAAGACTAATAATTTTAAAACCAGAATGCCATTTATTACAGCAATTTTAGAGTTCCTAAAGATGCTTAAAACCACTACAAAATTATGAATCAGCTTTTCACTGATAGCTTATATTCCAGTACCTTCACGAAGCTATCAAAAAGTGATATGACCAAGGTTTTATATCCTCACTTTTTAATAACCTAGGAAAGTGAGAACATGCAAACAAACTAAAAAATAAGGTATGCACAACCTGTGAAGATCAATCCCAAAGTAGGTGAAACCCATTATTACATAGTTGAGAAAAATCTAACACTAGAAGATAAAAATTGCAGTAAAACTTTGGATTTGATTCCTGAAGAATAGTAGAAACAGAATGAAAGATTTTAAAACACTGTGTTTCTATAAACTACAGGGTAATATAGAAGAGAGGCTCTCAACTGAGGGCTGTAGGAAAGTATAACTTTTCTAACCTCTACCATAAAGTTTTAATTAGGCCCGGCCAGGAGTGGCTCAACGGTTGAGCCTCGACCTAGGATCCAGGAGATCACGGTTCAATTCCCAGTGAGGGCACATGCCCGGGTTGCGGGCTTGATCCCCAGTCAGGCGCGTGCGGGAGGCAGCTGATCAATGACTCTCTCATCATTGATGTTTCTCTCTCTCTCTCTCTCCCTTCCTCTCTCTGAAATCAATAAAGAAATAAAAAAAAAAATAAAAAGTTTTAATTAGTAAGTTACCCTTCATGGAATATAGGTACTCCAGAATGATATACACAGACTTCTTCTAGACTCTGTACACCCTGATATGTCTAAAAGAAAAAAAATAAGAAAAAATATTAGCTTCATATCTCAATGTTACATGTCAAACATATTTGTAGTACTGGTGACCTCTATGAGCTAAGAAAATGCTCAAGGAATAACATGACCTAGAAATAGTCATAAATTCACCCAGCCATTCCAATAAGAAATGATTCCTTTTTGAATATGCTTAAGTTTCAGTTCCCTATGAAAAAGGCAAATAGGAAAGTAGGCAATAGGATGTATTAAGATGCTTTCAGACTTTTGGGTATGGGGTCACATCCAAGCATATTCAGGTAATTAAATTTACAGAATATTAAAACCAAGAGATTAATCTCAATAGAAAAAAATAGTTACAGTATGATTTATGTGCAGAGTAAACTCTGTGTGGGCATTATGAATTGATATGGAAAATCTAGTAAGCAATTCTGGAAGTTCTAGAGTGATGATTTCTTATCCCTATGAAGGGTAAAATGAGCTGCAGACCTATATATATATCCAGGATTTGTCTGGAAGATCCGGGCCCCATTGCTGCTGTAGGTGAAGGCTCTACAGATGAATTCACAAAAAGTTATGTTAATAAAACATAAATGCAGCCAATAGTATATTTTCTCTCTACTTTGGTTTTTATTGCAACCACCTACAGAACAGAGAATAAAAGTTTGTGTATTTACATTTTTGTAAATCCAATGTATTGGGTGTATCTCCTAAAGATATACTGTAAGTACATGAAACTCAGTAAGTTAGATTCTGAATTTACCACTGTTGCCCCCAAACTTCCTCGTCTTCCCACTTTATTTGATGGCACCATATCTACTCAATCTTCCAAAGCAAAATCCTATATGTCCTCTTCAATTTCTCCTCTAACTCTACACATACGTAGTCTATCACAAAAATGTCAATTTGACTTGAAAATATCTGTTTAATTTGCTAACCTTGCTCATGATCACCAGCAGATTTTAGGCAATGAGACTATACTGACAGATTCTGATTCATGGCCTTGAAGTAAGTAGATCTCTTAAAAAGGACACAGGAAAACATTGGTCACAGAGGAAAAGATGGACAAATTGCATTTTACTAAAGGAGCCTTTGGTTATCAAAAGTCATTAAGATAGTGAAAATTTATAGTATCTGTTTCTAACAAAAAAACTTTTAGCTAAAAAAATATAAAGAATTCCAAAAGTCAATAAGAAAAAGCAAACTTAATAGAAAAACAGGTAAAAGATTTTTTGCCATTTCACAAAAATGGTACTTTTGGTATCAATATCCAAATGGCCAATAAAATTACAGAAAGGTATTCAATTTCATCATCTGGAAAGTTAAAAACACAATGGGAACACTACACACCCACCAGAATGGCTAAAACATAAAAAACTGTTATTACAAAGTGTTACCAAAGTGTAGAACAAAGGAAACCAGCCTAACACTGCCGATAGCACTGTAACTACAATGGTTTTGGAAAACTACGTGCAAGTATCTGTTAAATCCGAACATATACACTCTATAGTCCAGCAATTCCATTTCTAGTCATATCTCTAATAGAAATGTTTACATTTGTTTCAAAAGTCATGCACAAAAAGTTCATGGTAGCAACAATCCAAAAAATTTAAAGGGCAGTAGAAAGGAAAAATTGGCACAAACAACGGCATACTTTAAAGCAATGGAAATGAACAAACTGCAGCTACACGCAACAAAGATAACTAACATTTTATTAGGCAAATCAGACAGACACAAGGGTACCTGTTCTATAATTCCATTTACATTAAGTTCAAAAATTAGCAAAACTAATCCATGTTGATAGACAAATGTGGTTAGCTTTGAGAGAGGGAATAATAATAGGAGGCATAAGAAGGGCTCTGCTTTGTGAAAATCCCTTGAGCTATACACATTTGCATGTTTTTAAATGTTATATTTCAGTGAAAAAAATTTAAAAATTTTCTTTAATGGCCTCCATAACCTGAAGTCTAACTTTTGAGCATTATGAGTCTTTCAGGAAATGTCACCATCTTACCTCTTTTAATTTCAACTTCACACCAGCAAATTCTGTACCATTATTATTAACTATTTATTGTTTTCTGCATACTATTTCTACCACCTCTGCTTGGGATATCCATTTCCTTTTTGTCCATTTACAGGACTATCATTTGTTTTTCAAAATTCACCCAGAATACCTTCTTTCTGTGGATCTTTCTCTACTACCCTACCACTTGCACTGTCTCCCTTCCCCCAAGAATTAATCATTCTCTTTTATCTACTACTTTTACCTTTGTGAATACATTTTTATTTCCATTCCTAAATAAGGAAGGTGACCTCAAACTTCAACATGAGGGTAAACTACAAACCTGCTCTCCCCAACCCTTCTTTCTTGGTCAATGTGTCACCACCTAGATGCCAGTGACAAAACCCCTTCCTTCACTTCCAGTTCATTAGCAAGTCCTGACAATATTTCAAAATACCATTCATTCTACATGCATTTGCCATGTGCCAGGCACTGCTCTAAGCATTCAAAATACAGCACAGAACAAAGCAAATAAAATCACTTCCTTGTAAACCTTATATAAGGAAAGGGACAGTTAGATGAAACAGAGTATTAGGAAAATAAGTAGTATGGTTGAAGGTATTAAGTGCTATGGAGAAAAAAGTAGAGAGTGGAAGTGTTGGAAGATAAGCAATTTCACAGAGGAGGTAGAAGCCTCACTGAGGTGTCTGATTACATCCCATATTTAACCACTTGTCGAAAACATACCCTCCAACCCCACTGCTTGGTCTTCCACAACAGCATCCTAACTGGTTTTCCTTTTTCAAATTCCACTCCCATCCCATTTTATTTGCCACTTTGCAGTCAAAGATAGAATTTTAAAACCCCTCCTTAAAACAGATAATCGCTTCCCATTATACTTAAATAAAGCCCAAACGCCTCACTGCGGTTTGTAAGGACCTCCATGTTGCCTACCTCTCTCTTCCACTACCTACACACCCATCCAAGCCCCGCTGATCTTTCTCATAATTCTTTGAATAGACAAGCTCTAAAGCCTCTACACATACTACTTCCAAGTGTACTCCAAGGTTTACTTACCTCATCCACTACATTACTCAGATTTTTGATTTAGTGTCACCACTTCACAAAAGACTTCTCTCAAATTCAGATTTAAATAGCTTCACTCTATTTCCTTGTCATCATAACTATCTGAATTCATTTTAATTACCTATTTGTTGATTTCTTCCCTACACTAGAATATCAGCTTTACAAGGAAAGAAATTTCTGCTTTATTTAATACTATGTCCCTAGCCCCGAAAACAATGTCTGGCACATAGTAAGTTCTCAGTGAATGCTGACTAAATGAGAATCATTTAATCCCATGATTCTATCATATATGATGCTCCTCAGAGACAGTCTCTTATCCATGTTCATAAGCCATAGCTCAGTGTAGTGCCCAACATATAATAGGCACACAAATGTCTGTTGAATTGATTCACTAAATTGCCCTTTTTTCAAAATTAATATTTTACTTCCATGACTCAACACAAAATTTACAACATATACCTTTGAACACCCTCCATTTTTACATGAGGTCCCAATCTTAATTTCATCACCGTCTTCTTCTGAAAAAAAAAAAATCAAATGAGAAACATTAAAATAGAACACTTTAGTGACATTCTTCAAAAATAACCTTTTCCATAAAACAAGTATTTAAAAACAAAAATCTAAATACAAAAAACACTAACATATTAAAATTAAACAATTTAAAATTAAAACCATTTTAAGTAACTAAGTTTTCTCTGTGACTTTTCAAGTAATGTATTTAGGAAGCTAATAAGCCAACTACTGTGACTAGGTTTTACCTATATTCCTAAGATGATATATGACACATTTCTATTCTATAATATTATATCCAAATATCTTAAACTTGTGAAAGAGAAATCATGAAAGGGTATTTTCCCCTCATGGTATTAGGTATAGGTCAGAGAATACCAACCCCCTATATTTTATCTCTTGCATAATGAAACATTTACAATCATCAAAGAAATTTAACTCACTGTTAAAATAATAGCAGTGAACTGAAAAAAAAAGAATTTAATTAACAGACTCTCATTCTGAAAAAAACCACATACCCATTCTGTGGTTTAATTGGTGTTTAAGAAACAAATAAATTTTTACTACAATGTGCTTTTTCATATTTATATTCAGTAAATTATACAGCTCTTATCTCTTTTAGATAACTGGTTAATTGTACAAAAAAATTACAACATACAAAACAAAATCTTACCTTTGCTTTTTTCATTCCCCGATGATAGTTTAAGTTTATCAAGTGCTTGTTTTAGGGAGGCGGATACTTTTAATTCCAAATTTGTCATTGGTTCATCTGGGCTGGAGAATTTTGAAACTTTATTACCATCATTGATGTTCCAAAATATTTTTGTACTAAAAATAAATATACTTAACAGCCTATTTATGGAAGAAGCCAAATAACTTGTGAATGAAATTTTTCCCATTATAATTTTTTAAAATTCATTTTTAGAAAGAGGGAGGGAGGGAGAGAAACATTAATGTGAGAAACATGAATTGGTTGCCTCCTGCACATGCCCTGACTGGGGAATCGAACTGCAACCTGGGTATGTACCTGGACCGGGAATTTAACCAGCCACTTTTTGGTGTAGAAGATGATGCTCCGACTGAGACACACCGGCCAGGGCACATTTTTTCCATCAAAAGGTACTTTATAATTAACTGCTATAATGTATTAAAATGCCTAAGTTGTAACAGAAAAGGTTTTGATATTAAAATACTAAGTCTAAAATAATCATGCTATTGCCAACAGATTAAACTATTAATCAGTAGGCTAATGGGAAGGAAACAAAGACTAGCAATAGCAGTTTGTCAAGATGAGTATCTCCAAGGAAGGCACCATGATGTACTTTTACATTCCTTGCTTGAGCAAAATGCCGAGCATAGAGTAAACAACCAAAAAATATGTATTAAGTGAACCCATATTCCTACTGGTGGAGATAATTCACTTTGTGTGGACACTGATATAGGCATCTATAAATTCAGATACAATTGTATCACAAGGCAATTTCAGTATAGTTAAAAAACAGTAAAAGCATCTCCTAACATTTCATAATGGTTAAGTGTTGTATGTACAATCTGTTTAAGGCCATTCAAATAAGTATTAAGAATATTAATAAATACAGCAATGAAAATAGAAATCCTAGGTCATGTATTCTACATCCTTAATTAAATAAACCTGTGATGTTGGAGGCCATTAACAAAGCACATAAAAACCCATACTCTCATAATCTCTATAATACCACCAAGTAAATTTAGGATAAAATATTTAATTTCTCTCACTTCCCCTTAAGTAAAATTATTAGTTCATTATTTAAAGAAAATAGTAACACATATTGCCAATTATAGTATTACAACTACACTGTAATACTTCAGCCAGCAGGGCATTCATAATCTCTCACGATTATGAATAAGATGAAGATGGAATAAAATCATTCTAAATAGTTGGTTTAAATAAACATCAAGAAGTCTCTTAGGGTTATCTTGGAATGGTATTATTTAATATGCTATGAAGTTATTTAAGTTAAGATCAATAAAGGAAAAGTTGGGAAACCCTAAGTCCACAGTGTGAATAAAATATCAACAGGAGTCATATTTTAGGCCAAACCCCTATCTGTTTTTTGACACCTATTAATTTTGGTTCTAAAACAATTCAACACAAGTGCAGCATGAAGAAGACCTGGTGTTAACAGTGGTACCCAATATGCGTGTGTAGGAATGTAAAATTTAAAAATAAAGTCTAGATGATTAGAAGATGAGTATGAAGAATCTGTATAATTCTGCAAAATGAGCAAAAAGTATTTTAAAAATACTTTAATGGATATGCCATGTAAATCAAATCCATTAAAAAACTTGTCAGTAATAATGAAATTAATAGTTTCAGGAATCTAAAGATAAAAGATGAGTCACTAGGCTTGTTCTAAGTGGTAAAATATAGACAAATAAAAAAGAATTTGGCTCAATACAAGGGAAAAATCATACACTGACTTAGTAACAATACAGTGGACCACTATGAAACAAAAGGAAATTCTTCTTTACTAGATTTGAAAGGGAACTAAATTATTCTTCTGTCAAGAATGTCCTAAAAGTTATACAAGAAACAGTAGAAAAAAGGAAAGGAAGACTTCTAAGTTCTTTTTCAACTTTAACTGATTCCTGGAAAAGGACAATTCCTTTACAGACTTTCACTACACCACAGTGAGAAAGACACAAGCCAAGGTACAGGATGAATGTGTGGCTACCCTAATTATGATGGTGCAATGAACACGCATGGAATGAAACTTGCTGTGTACATACATGGCCTCAAGTTGAGGGGGAATAAAAATGAAAGACAGATCTAAAGGAAAACCAAATGGTAAAAAAATTGGTGACCTGAACAACTGTTACAAAAGGAATTATACAAAATCATAAAAAAATACCAGGAACAAATGCTATTATTCAAGTATGACAAGAGCATGCAACTGAAAAAGTGTACCTTGGCCTCTTTATTGCTTCTACTGGTTTAGGGGCTTGAATGATGTGCTCCTGAAATTTGGGCTTCAATTCAGATAGTTCCTTCTTCTCAGTAGTCTTGACTTCAGGTTTAACGGGCTCAGGTGGCTTTTCACTATTATGTTTACCTTTTGTACAACCCTGTTAGTGAAAGGTATTCATTAAGAGTTATCCGCTCATGTATTTCATATGCCATGACAGAAATACTATTTTAATTCTTTATTAATAAATACTACTGTGGTTCCTTCACTTTTATCAGACTTATTTTAAGAAACTAAAAATATTATTCCAAATTTGCTATATTTGTAAATGAGTTATTAATCTGAATAATGCATTTTTTTTAAAGCCTCTGAATAACACTTCATAAATATCTACTTAACTCTATTAAACATACAGCACAAACTTCTTGTTTATAGGAAACAAATTCTGGGGATCTCACAAAGAGAACTCTACAAATTATTTATAAAAGATAGCCTTAGTTTGACCCCCAGTTCTGCTACTAACTAGCTATATGACCTTGAACAAGTTCGTTAATCTTTCTAACTTCATTTTTTCATTAGTAAATGGAGATAATGGCACTTAAGGTATTTTTGAGAGGGTTAAATAATAGAATACTTGGCACTTCTGGCAGGTGGCAAACATTCAATAAATGCTAGCTACCTTTTCCATATTCCACTGAGTCATACATACTAATTTTAACATCTCTGAAATCAAAGATTAACGACATGTCATTTAATTAACAGCTTTAGTTTTCTTTCTTAAAAGTATACAAAATAATGGTACATTTTGATGATATCTTAGATTTAATAAAAATGTATTGTTCCTAGCTGAAAATGCATTAAATTATTGCTTCCTGCCTTCCATCCTCTTGATATTCTTTTAGGACTACGAACTTCTCGCATAAACCAAAACTCACAACTTGAAATTTTAATCTCTAACACAGATAGATATATTCCTATTTTAAAGGCTGTAGGAGAGAGGTGAGCTCCATTTGAAAAGTACAATCTGCAAGTCAACAGGGACCAGTCTGAAATTGAACTCCTTAAATCTGGAGCCTCCCAGAATATGTACTCTTCAGTAGACAATCTAGAAAGAAAATGAATACTTACTACAATGCTTAAAAAATCAGAAAAATCAGTTGTTCTTCTCTTACAGCAAGACCAACCCTATGAAACATAAGAGAGAAAAAACTCAAAACTGTATCTGCATGAGAACTACAACCCAGTAAAATACTCTATTTGTACTTATCTTCTCAAATCTGGAAGCGACTTGCATATATATGCATTTCACAGTTTTGAAGTGCTGTAAATGACTTATCTAACCAAGTGAAATGATTCTGTCTTTTAGAAAAACTGTTACAATTGATGATGTGTTGTGATCTATCATGAAACGAAATACCTTAAAAAAGGGAAACAGAAATTGCTTCTGTTTTTAAAAATAGTACTTAATTTTTAGAAGAAAACCATTTTATAATTTCTAAATCTATATTTTAAAGGATCTGGGGAGTAAGTGAAGTGCTTTACTTTAAAAATCTGGTAAGAGATAATAATTACAATAATATAGTTCCTAAATATTGTAGCTATTCCTTAACAATAAGAGTTCTACCTATTTTCAGCATAACATAAACTAAGGTAGCAGCCTAAGCTCCATTAGATCTTTGAAGGTTAAATGATCTTTTCAGTCAGAAGCATAAAAATATAAAATTGTTATGCACTGTGTAATTTCTGAACAAAATATCAACTGGCTTATCAAAAAATGGCTTTAAGTTTAATTCCAGCATAGCACAGAAAATAAGGAAATAAAAAGGCAGCACTCTCAAGACTTTAGAGGCCTGAAATACAGACTAAGGGCCAGCTTTGCACATACCTATCTGGGTGTCGTTGTTTTTCCCAATATACTGCTTGAAGAATTTGGTAGTGATTATTTTCACAATATGCACTTAGAGGTTTTTCTTTTTTTTAAAGAAAAATACAAAATTTCCATTATTTTGAAATTTAATATTCTTTTACTCTAAACTGAGATGTAGATGAAAAGTTACTACAACCTTAGAGGGTTTATTTAGCATTAATAACATAGTCATCAGAGAAGTTATTCCATGCAAGAAAACGCTTTATTGTCTTAATTATATATGAAGAATATTATCAGGTAATCTGGGGATACTGGGATACATACATGATATAGACTAGTTGTTCCCAAATGCCAATCTAGGATCCATGGCAGTCCTCAGTGAAATGAGAAAAAAGGAAGGATAAATTTAAGTATGTGAGTATAAGGTGGTTGTTGTTTCTTAAAAAGGGGTGAGCTTTTCTCTAAATATGCCTCTTCTAATCTGAATATTAACATGTTCTTTTTTTTGTTAATGCAATGTTTAAATTCTTACTTGGTCAAATAGAAAACTGGCAACGGTAGACACAATACTGATTTACGTATTTTGTCTAAAATCTACGAAGCTGTGAAATCCAGTAGTCTTGGAAAGTCTAGGTCTTCAAGAAATGTTTATAGAGACAATAATAAACGGTAGGACTGGAGAAGAAATAAAAATACTTCAAGGTAAAATAATTAAGATTACTTAATCAGAATAATTAACAGTTGTGTAGTAAAAAAAGAGGGATGGACTGAATGACTGGAAAGTTAGCAATATCATTACTAGCAGCAGCAAAGTTGAGAGGCAGGCTATTTTTGGAATAAGAGTCCACTGGTTTTCGGCTGCCAATTACACACATAAATGGAAATATGCCATTTAAGGATAGGAAAGAATTAACAAAATGAGAGAAAAGAAGAAGTCGAAGACTGAGAAGCCAATTATGACTATCCTTAAGAAATTAATTGGAAGAAAACATCATAGGAAAAGAAAAAAAGAAAAACATACAATAAGAAAATAAACATAGAATAAATCATAGTCCAGGAAAGTTAAAACTCCCTAAACCCTGGGAAAAAAAAAATCCTGCAGAATCACAGTTTCCATCCTTGTAAATTTATAAAAAGGCTAAAAAAGATATGAAGAGGAGTCAGGTCTCAACTTGCCCTATTGAATGTTTGTTCCTTTTTCCTCACTTAGAACTAACCAGAATAACAAACTTGATATTTGCTTGTACATCTTTGTTTAGAGTTGGCTATTTAACAGATAAATGTCAAAAAGATCCAACTACCCTCTGAAAGGTATTTAATTAGAAATTCAAAGGGGATCAACAATCTTTAACCATTCAATAAGACTGTTAATGTTCCCAAGAACAAGTATCAAAACCTAAAACCATGGCAGCCATGCTGAAACATTTTCTTTTTAAGATAGACAATGGAAAACGTACTATATTATCATAAAATTTAAAAGGTCAATAAACCCATGAAAAATCTGGACAAAAAACATTCTATCATTTCACTACTTCTCCAGATCAAAGTACAGGTGGGAAACAGGTGGCATCTCTTTTCTGTTTACTCTAAACTTACATGTCTGCCCTGGGACTGGCACCATTAAGTGTTTATAACAATCTTTCTTAAAATTCAGAGCAGCTCTTATTAGATAGGAGCTGTCTGACAGATTTGAAATTAGGATTCAAGAAAACTGCTTTCATTTCCCTTAAAAATTAGGACAGTGAAGAAATGAGGGGTATAGAAAGTGAGAATTGGGATAGAAAAATTTGTCCAATTTTATAACTGGAAAAGACCTGTCTCTGCATTTAGTGTAGTACTTGCTTAAATCACCCCAAAACGGTCATTAAGAAAGCAGAGTCACAAAAGATGAGAAAATAAAGATTCAGTAATACAGCTCTAAATTTACTATCCAAATACAAAGATGCTGAAACATATCAAGTTCCTACCTTTAATGCATCATGAAAGACTGGGACACCTGGGTGGTATGTGCAAGCATCTGGTCAAAAACAGGAAAAAAAATCACTTAAGAAATAACATTATTTCATTCAGGTGTTAACATTTAATCTTCTTTCCAAATGCAGAAAATACTTTTCCTTAAAAAAAAAAAATCACTAATACTCGAATGTGATGTATATAACATTGTATGAAAGTAGCAACAGTTAAAGTTCTAATTCAAGAGTATTGATAGCTATAGATAAAAATAATATAAAAAAGCTCAAGTATAACAAATTATATTCTGTATTCCTCTAATCTTTGTAGTAAAATCTGTTTAGTACCAAAACTTTAATCTCTAAAATTTTGACTGTCATCTTTCAATTCTGATTTTACAAAAATACGATCAAACTTAAGTGTTCTTATGTGTATTGGTCCATAAGATTACCCAAGAGATTCCCTAAATAGATATTTTAGAAGAACAGGTTCAAAAGTTTAAAAACTGACATAATATCTAATCGCTAATTTAACTTTTGTAGACAGGTGTCAATTCCTAGATATGAAACTCATTAAAAAGAAGCTGAAGTTCTACACTCTATTTTCACTATTATTAAAACGTCAGATAATAGAAACACTTATTCCCTGGCTGAGGGAACCATGAGCTTAGAAAAGGCAGGTCAGTTTCACACCTGTGTAATTGTCTTATAAGGCTGCTTTGCTCAATCTTCATGCCTGCTTAGATTTCAAATGTTACAGCCTCTGATTCCTGGTGTTGCCTTAAAATGACTAAATACTGGTACTTAAGGAAATCTCCCTATCCTTGCGTTAACAGCCAATATGGTTTCCTAACTTAGTAACCAGGTGTTACCTAGATACTATGCCAGCAAACAGAACAAGAAAGTTTGAAGTATTTTCATGGCACAGTAAGTAAACCCATGGATTAGAAAGAAGCTATTAAGGGCAGTTGTGGAATTAAGAACTAAAAAAGGTTCAAAGTAGAAATGAATATGCTGAGGGATATGAAATTGAGAGGGGAATCAAAGTAGTGAACAGAGAGAGTATTTTTAAATACCAAATTTATAAAGAGTCGGGCATAAAATGTATAACGTATGACACAGTAAGAGGCATAATCATAATAAAGTTTTGGCAAAATGGCAGCAGCAACAAGTCAGGTCTTAACCATACAACTAGCTTTCAAAAGGAAGTAACAAATAGACAGACAATCTATTCTCCAGCCTTTCTGTATCAAGTTTATTAGTTTTTCTCAAAGTAATATTTTATGGATAAGAAGCTACCACATGGTAGTGGTTAAGAGCCAAGGGGCTTTTAACACTGGCTCAAATTCTGGCTCTGCCTCTTGGTAGCTGTTTCAATTTCCTCATATATGTAGATTAAATAAAACACTGTTTGTGAAGTGGTGCTTTTTCCAGGGTAACTGTTTAACACGAAAGTTACCAATCAGGTTTCCTTTAAACACTCATTTAGCTGTGTTTCAAACTGAAATGTCTATCAGCCTAGAAAGAGGCCTGTTATTTAGTCAATACATGTCAAACCTCTCCCATTATACAGAACTTGCTCGTAACCAAGTCCACAGTTTGCCCTTTGCTCTTGTATTCTACTCTGTATCTCTGTTTTCTTAACTTTCCATTCTATCAACCAATCTACTTGAGTATTTATTCTAAGTCTTTAAAATAATTTCCATTTTGCTAAAGCAAATAAACTTTTGGCAACCTTACAGCTGAACTTGGTACTGATGATCACCCAATTCTTGAGACTGTCTACTCCTCTGGCTTTCCTGTGTCCACCGTCAATCTCTTTCCTGGCTACTATGCCATTTGACTTCCAAAAAAATGGCTGTATCTCCTCTTAATTTTAGGCTGATATATAACACCCTATAAATAAACATACTGTCTGGTATAACAAAGCATCAGCCTTCTCCCTTTATTTAATATTAAAGTAGAATATGTGCAGATACTAAGGCCGTTTATTATTAGTATTATCATTGTTAACCCTCACCCAAGGTATTTTTCCCATTGATTTTTAGAGATAGTGGGAGGGAGGGAGGAAGAGAGAAACATCCATTTGAGAGAGACTCATCAATGGGTTGCCTCCCGAATGTGTCCCAACCAGGGTCCAGGATCAAATTTACAACCCAGGTTATGTACACTTGACAGAGAATTGAAACCAAGACCCTTCCGAGTGCCAGCTGATGCTCCAACCACTGAACCACACCGGCCAAGGCAGTTCATTTTTCATAGGCTACCAATAGCAGAGGGCTTCAAAACTCCTCCTCGATTATGTCATCCACTGAAATCTCACCATTTTCCCCTTGAATAACTTCATATTAATATCATAAAAATGTCCATCCACAACAATCACTCGAGTACTGTACAAAGACTGGATTTATCTTTTCCTTACAATCCTGCCAATTGTCTTATTTTAAATGATGTCACCAATTCACCTGTGCACCAAGATAACTACTTCAGACATCGCAGAGGTGAAAACGATTTTAAAAGGCATATAATTTAATCACAGTGTGGAACCATGTTGAGACCACGCTGAACTCAACTTCCCAGAACAGTGCCTACTTCACAACGTTGTTGTGAAGACTCAAATGCGATAAAGTAATAACGTCCATGTCTGGCACATAAAAAACATACAGTAAGTACTAACTGAATTGAGAAGGTGTCGCTTCTGGCAATATTCAGAGAACCAACTCACTTCTTTCTCCCATTTGCCAATCAAAATTCAAGTTCACTGACCATTTTCTATTTTTTGGCTGGTCACTAACCTTCACTTTACATCCTTAACTCTGCACCTCGGTGCTGCAGAGATAACTCAACCCCTTTATCCACAAGGTGGCTTGTTGTTTATGTATTTTATTTTGTTAATCCTCACCGGGGGATATTTTTCCCATTGATTTTTAGAGTGGAAGGAGGGAGGGAGGG